TTTTTTATTTTAATTTTTTATAAAATATTATTTGCTTATTTTTACGAATTACAAAATATAGATTAAATGATTTTTTAAGAGTGGAAAATAAATATAGAAAGAACTTTATATTTTATATTTTGGTTTGGTGGATTGGATTTCGAAGAAATATAAAATAATAAATATAATATAAAACGAATTGATTTAGTATACAAAAGAGATTGGGAGACATATATTATAAAGATATTGATTTGTTTTTTTTTTTTTTTTTGAAAATTATTATAATTATTTGTAATATATAATTTGTAATAGTGAGTTTGATTAATTTGTATTTAATAGATTTTTTTTTCTTTGAACTATATAGTATTTATATTATTTGGATCGTATTTTTTTTTTGGTGTATTTTATTTTCGAAATAGGGTGATATAATTTTCGTGCTTAAGATGGCATTGGGTTATAGGTGGGCATTATTTTATATTTTAATATTTTCGAATATTTTAAATCGAAACAATACAAATAAAAAAAATCATGTGTTTAATAATAATAATAATAATTTATATTATTTAAAATATCTTTTTTTTTTTTTTTATTAATTTTATATCTTATTTTGTTTAATATTAATTATTATTCTGTTTTAATTATTTTTCTTATAAATTTATTTAATTATTAAAATATTTTGTTTTTATTAATATTAATATTTATTATTTTCAAATTTTATTTTTTTTTTAATAAAAACATCATTTTTTTTTAAATAATATACATAATTCCTTCCTTCCCATAACCAAGAATTATGTAAACAAATTTCTCAAAAAAACACAAAATAAATATCATTTTTTTAAAATTAAATTATATAATCATAATCATAATTCCTATAAACTTATTATTTATTTTTCTAATTTATATATTTCTTTACTTATATTTTATTTCCTACATTGTATTTAATATTATTATTTTATATCTTTATCATTTTTTTTTATAATCAATTTCTATATCCTTTTTTTTTTTTCAAGAATTGTATTTTAAACTATTTTTCCCTTTCTTTTTAAATATATAAACTTAAAATAAGATTAATATATCTATTAATCAATCCTTTATTTATCATTTTTTTTTCCATTTTCTAATCCTCAAAAAATCCTATTATCGACCAACAAAAACAATTATCCATTACCAATACAACTCAATAAAAATATTTTCTTCTTTATATCTAATATATCAATTAAACCAACCAAGACCAAAATTAATTAATTAATTCAAAACTATATATAAAAATATATAATATAAATAAATTTGTGCTTTATAAATTAGTATAATCCCAGATCATATAGACATATTGTAGCGTTATTTTAATTAATTATTGTGTTTATAACAATTCTTTTTTATAATATAAATTTTGTTTTTTTAATATAATTTGGAAATTATTATATTTTTGTTTTAATGTTTTTAATATTATATATTTTTATGTATAAAGGGCCCTTTTTTTTACATTTATATTATTTATAAATAAAAATATTTTATAATAATTATTTTGTTTTTTGTTTTGTTTATATTTGTTTTTTGAATAATGATTGTTTAAAAACAGAATAAAGTCAATAACAATAAGTGGTTTTTAATGATAATTATATTAATTAATTTATCAAATTAATGATATATTTAGAGAAAATAAAATAAAACAACATATCCTTTTTGTTTCTTGTAGTAATTTGATTCGCAATTGGTCAGGCAGTTGAGAGAAGATGAGCAGAATTCGAGTCCAAGCACCAGGGTGTTTTTTCATTCAGGTAAACGGCAAAGGAGAGCACTCTCTCGACTGTATAAAGCCCCAAAGGGAGACACAATCATTCCACCCCAACTTGCTCTGCCACCTCAAGCACCTTTTGAAGCTTCTCGATGATCTCCTTTCTTGCCTTGGGTAACTTTTCAGACTTCACGGCGTCCTCGAAAATATCGATGGCTTCGAGCATGAGGAAGTAGACGTAGTTCTTTTTCAAGGGGTCATCATCTGAGAGGCCCCTCAGGGCTCTGAACCATTTTGATTGTCCATGTTTTCTGGTGAAAACGGAGGATGTGACACGTTGAAGGACCAGGCAAAGTTTGAACTGCCAGATCATATGCTAGCATGAGACCGCTCATTTCACGAGCGGCCCGGGAATGTTGAGCTGCGGACGGTTGCAAAGACAAAATGTGCATTGGCCAACCCCTGCCTGTCTGAGATAAATCTTTCTCCATACTTCTGTATTAGCTGGCCAGCCTTCTGCTCGAGCTTGCTAAGCTTCTTTTCAGCCTCCTCTCCTCAGCTCAACCACATCAGACATGGAAGCGTCCTTGTCCATGGGCTCTTTCTGGGGCCGGACAAAAAACACACACACACAAAAACAAAAAAACAAAAACAAAAACCAAAAGCAAGAGGCCCATCCCCCCGTTCCCCCCCACCCACTCCCTCCCCCCACCGCCAAAGGGCCGATGAAGCTGTCCCCCACCGCCTCCTCCGCCTCCAAAGCCTCCTTCAGGGCCTGCGCGGCAGGGACCACCGAGTCCCTGAAGGCCTTGGGCAGCGGCGCCTGCTGCCTGGGCTGGTGTTGCGACTGACCGCCAAGAAGTGGGAAGAGGGGTGGATGTGTTTTGGGAAACTGATGGTTGCCAGAGCTGACCGTTGCAAAGCTTAGTGCAGCAGAACTTCTGTGACTAAAAGATGGGGATAAGCAGCTATTGGACGTTACGTCATTTGTTCAGTCACAGATTGATACATGAAATCCAATAGTCATCACACCCCCGTTGGCAAGACTAGAATGTCATGTATGGTTACCGCTTCCTGGATGCAACTCATCGGGGGACTTCTCAGTGTTCTCAGCTTCTGGGTCAAACATCTGAGGACCTCTCTGCTTTTTTTTAAAGCTTGTGGCATGTCAAACTCAAAATGCAGTCTCGCTCCTAAATTTCAGCTTCCTGGATGCGCCACGAATAGCCTCTGGCAGCCTAATGGAGCATATATCCGGGGGGGGGGGAGGGCATGATAAGTAGAATACACATATATGTATATATATGTACACTATATATATACATATATATATATATATACATAAATATATATGTATATAAGGTTTGTACTGCTCAAAAACATATTTGCTTAAACTTGCGTAAGCTCAATTTCATTGCTAACAGGTGGATTCTCTCCAAGTGCTTCACAGCTGCAGAGTGATCACATCCGCTCGTGCAGTTTGCGCCACCAGAACTGGCAGCGCTCCAAACAGCGTTCTCCGAGGTAAGTTGCTCCAGGCGGGCGCCGTGCACCAAATGCCCAGCACGAGCAAGCATACCGCCGGGCGACTGGATCGAGACGCCATGGCCCAGGACGAAAAGGCTCCAGCAGTGAAGGAAGGAAGAGGGGATCGCCAAGCACTGGGCTGTTACTCTGGCAGAACGCAGTGTGACACAATCTTTTGTCACCTGGGTGTTGGCAGAAGGCAGTGTCCTTCAGTCAGTGGCGCTCCATGTGTGGGTGTTGGAGATATGAGCGCTTGCTACTCTTGAGTCTGCGCAGTGTGCAACCAAGTCCTTCAGCCCTCTCAAGTGATGAGCCACACTTAGCGTGCTGAGGCAAACAATTGATCTTGGAACGAAAGTCTGCCAGTGTCATGACATCTTTGCACACACCACATCTCTTTGCTGCACATTGTCGAGCGCATCGAAATAGCTGCACAAAGCCGCACGATTTTTGATTGGGATACGTTCTGGCTCAGCGCTTGTGGCTGACTTCTCCTCGTCCGACGTGTGTTCCGACTCCTCTCCCTGCGCGGTGCCGGAATGGGCAGTGATTCGATTGGTGCCAACACGCATCCAGGCCATGTGACCCACCTCCTCGTCCTCATCCTCTTCCTCTGATTTTGCTGCCTGGCGGACAAACGGAGTGACCCACAGTGAAATACGTCACCTGCGTAACTCCTCTTTGTATGCCTTCATTCATTCCGATCAACCACAGAACACATCATATCAAATCATGACTCGCACTATTAGTAACTATGCTTGCTTGAGCAGCACGACTGATGCCGGCAAGGGCACTCAACGTCCCAGCCCATCCGGAAATGCTGCTGCACCTGCGCTGACTCCGCTGCCTGCAATGCACAGCATGCCCGGTGAAGCTTCAAGGAAAACAAAGTGGACACCACTCTGTGCGGCCTTTCACATGGTATCCATAAACATTATCCAGTCTAAATAAAGCAACCCGCGCATGGAAGTGCTGCACACTTGAGCCCGTATCAAGCTTTTCTGATGGGAAACAATCATGAGTTTAAACCTGGACAAATGCTGTAGAGTTCTTCCTGGAATCCGATCATGGACTGAACTCAGATGCATTCACACAACTGCACCTGCAACTCCTCCTTTCTGACCTGGCAGCGTGGTGTGATATGCATTCGCGCTTTCAGAAATTGCGACACCCGTCGAAGTGATTTCGGAATTGTGCAGAAGATGCAAACCCAGGGAACACAAACTCCGACTGCTTCAAGACACAAAGGGCATGGCATGTGGTTCGCTGAGCATATCTGAACACTGATCCGGAAAAGAACAACACAACCCAGCATGTCGCAACCTTGATGCTGCCTTCCCAGAAACGATTGGTCAACACTCGGGTCAGTCTTATTCAGTGTTCCAGCCGATGACCAGCTGCTTGGAAACCATCGAAACGACAAATCAACGAGAGGTGGTGTTCCGATTTTGGCTTGGACTCGCCCGTCAGATAGGCAAAACAGTAAGCCACACACCTCCAAAAGAGAAGCGGAGGCTTAAGAGTTGGTTCCTAGCTCCCTCGTCACCGGCAGGCTCCCATCTTTTGCTTTCCCTGTGGCAACCTGCATGGCTGTCCAGGTTTTCTACCTCACCAATTGATGCGGCTTACATTTTCTTGCACCCTTATTATCCGCAACCGAACCATGTGCAGAACCGGCAGGTCAAAGCTCGAGCGGCCTCAGCGGCCCGGCGCACGGCTGCAGAAATGGCGGCGGCGCGGGCGGCCCCGTCGGGGCCCAGCTTCCCTGGCCCGAGCCCTCCGGCGCGAGCTGACGCTGACCATGGCCATGGGTCAAAATCCAAATCGGTTAGCCCCCAATAAAACATCCCAATCCCAATCCAACCACAAGAATAGGTTCTAAAATGGGAGGTGCACCAAAAACCCGAAAAAAAGGTACCGTTGATTTTGATCTGCCACATGCAAACTATAAACAAGAAGCCTGGCGAGAACATTGACTCACGGCATCTTGTTGATCCAACATGTTGAGCCAAGGAAAGCACCGTTACAACGTGTCGAGCAGCTGAACCCGACCGAGGGGCTTGGTGCATTGTCTTGTCTCTTTTGGACATAACGGTTTCATCCATGCCCCCCCGTATCAAGCAGGCGGGTTTATGTCAAATTCTTTATGGGGAGATTCTCCAAATGGTGGATCCCGGGCAATTTCCAGGCAATTTCCGGGCAAGTTTTGGGCAAATGGTGGACCCCCTTTTCGCATTTCCGGGCATCTTTTTTCCGGGATCCCTGTTCTGCGAAACACCTTTAAGCATCGCCCAGGACACCCAAGGCGCGGTGGAGGATCAAACTGTGCACGCTGGCCGGCTTTGTGCCAGGGCCTTGGTGAAGAACGATGAGAGTCCAACAAACTCTGTCTGAGCCGCATTTCCACAGTGGAAGCTGTACTTTGTTGATGCTTGGCTTCACGGCATTAACGCAAGAAGCGGTGAAATACACAATGGGAGGGCATGGTGTATTCTCCTCGCTAATGTGTGATTGACATGGATAGAGTAGTACTGATGAACACCTGAACCAGCCCTTGTAGGCTCAGTTTCGCGGGCCGGGGTCGGACTCCTCACTTGCAAAAAACTTGAGGTACATCCGGCATGTCCTCAGATCGAATTTGCGGGCCATCCAACCAGTGGTATATGCATTTTCTGAGCGGATTCTTGGTCGAAAAGACGCCTTGGTGCCAAAGCCCATGCGTGCAAGAAAGAATATCTTTGTAACGTATGGGCAGCATGACGTGTTGCCTCACGAGCTTTGCAAACACTTCCAAACCTACTGTAGTCCCAATCTGCGGCTGGTTCTGAATCCATGGTGCACCGTTTGAATGGCTTTCCTTTTTGGATGCCCCCGATGGATTGCGTGTTCAGTACACTTCTTGACGATATTGAGAGCCATCTTTCTCTATATATACTATAAAGAGGATAATATTTTTTCCAGGTTGGTTGCAATAGACAAAGGACATCTACCATTCTTGGCCCCCCCTTTGACATTTTCCCACACCTAAGAAAGGTTGGCGATGGTCTTGCTCCTCTTGGGCCTTGGCAAAGCCTGGAGAGGCCCAGCACAAAGTTCTCCGCGATGCGCTCGTCGCCAGCCTGCGAGCGCTTGCCGCGGCGAGTTCGACCTGGTTAGATCCCAACACCAAGCATCCGGGAGTCCCGAAATGCAGACCCTTGATTGAATGGCGTTTAAAGCAATCTCAACATTGAAACCCTGCAGTTGTTCCTTTGCCCATCTGGGCCTGAAAGCAAACAGATCTCATGAGTCCTCCATAGGACTCCACTTTGGATGGCCAAAGAGTGAATGCGCACGAGACTCGGCACTCGGCCTTCCGCTCCAGCCTTAAAGTGGAATGACCGCTGGGCTGTCCAAACGGAAAAGCAGCACCAGGAGACTTCCTCAAGGGAACGCGCCAATGCCCATTGTCAGGGCCCTATTGGGATTCGGGGGCGGGGCCCCATTGGGGGCCCTTGACAAGTTTAAAGCCAGTGAACGAACTCCTAGTTTGATTATTTGTGCAGTCTTCTCTTTTCAAGCTGAACAGTTGGGAGTCGGACGGAAGTGCGGCAAAGCTGGCCAAGATGGGATTGATGGATTTCTCTCAAACTATCGACCCCCTCCCCCCAAACAAGAAGACGGCCAGGTTGTGAAAACAAACAATGACTAGGCGGTGGAAACAAAAAAATCCACCAGGTGTCGTGTTTCCGTCCAGTTGTCCCTTTTAACGAGCCCAATGGGTACATCCTGGCGATGCTTCTCTGGCAGGGCATCGGAGCCGAAGCCCACGTGGACCACCTCAGCGACGCGACGTGGCGCTTTCCTTTTTGGTTTCCCTTAAAACCGAAACGAACGGGTGGTAACCCCCCGAAAAGATACACACACACACACCCGGTTGCTTTCTGCTCCCCTGCTAGAAGTTTAACTTTCAGTGGTTTAATTGGAAAACCCATTAGTTGGCAAAAAGTTCAAGTCCTAACATCCAAGCAACATGCACCAAAGCACACCCCTTTGTATTTGGTTCAGCTTGGAGCAGACTATTTGGATCGCTTCGCTGATCTTCAAGTTACGGAGGGGCCAACAAGGGTTATCTTTCAAGCAGCGACACGATGCGGCTCCTTGCGAAAAGTGCTCGAATCACATTTCTGCCTCGCTTTTTTTTAATGCCGGGCTGTCGGGGTGAAAGGCGAATCCAAGCTTCAGATTCAGCAGTTGGAATTTATTTCAAGGTGGATGGCCCAGGCCAAAACAACTCGCGGCCAAGTAGCAAGTCTGGGATTTTCCGCTGGTGTTGGCTGTTTGCTTCTGACCGGGGGCGAACCAATTTCTACATTTCATGCTTTACACAATGCCCATGCCTTGGTTGATGTTGGAAGCGGAGCAAAAACTTAATTTTCAGCAGTTAAGTGGGGATTTCAACCACTAAACCACGATCAACAAAAATGTAAAATGGCCGTGGGTCAAAAATATGTCAACATGTGCGGTTTTCGGGTGGATTGATTTTGACCCATACCCAAATGTAAAATGCTTCCCAACATCAACCATGATGCATCGCTTTGTGCCTCCTTCAGAGGCACCACCGAAGGGCTGCTGAGCCGCCGCCGGCCTGGCCAGTGGCATGCAGCTTTCTGATACCGCGGTTGCTACGGAGGTTTTCCTGTTCAGTGACCCTGGAAAAAAGGGAAACCATTTTTAGTGGGGCAGCCACCAGAAAAAAGGGAAACAGGGTGCCACGTTTTTTGCACTTTCCCTCTGGCAATGGCAAGAAACGAGGGAAGTTGTTTCTCGGTTGCTTTCTGCTCCCCTGCTAAATGTGACTAACTTTTAGTGGTTTAATGGAAACCCACTAGTTGGCAAAAAGTTCAAGTTAGAATATGCAAGCAAAATGCACCAAAGGTTAATGCTATTGGTTTCACAATCAGTTAGGTCCAGTTTGATCAAATAGGGCCCCACTCACCTGGCTGTGGAGATGGAATTGCAGAACATCGTCCAGCTACAAAGCTGAGTGCAGCAGCAGCCACTGTGTTCAGCAAACAAGCAATCAGTATTTGCGCGAGAAGCACCTCGGTGTAGCACAAAAAGCAAACGTAGACAATTAGGACTATCCTGCTATGCAGATATTTCTCAACAGACACAAAACTCATGCCAGATTTGGGGCCACAGTTTTTGACACACCATACAAGGATTCTGCAGCGGTCGATATACTCGCACTCGGAAACATACCCTGTGCGGCATATGCCAAGATTAAACAAGGCATGTGTGTGTGTGTATCCGCCGACCCCCCCTGCCTGCAAGGGGAAGGCGCTGGGGGAGTGTTCGTTTAGCGTTGGAGCGTGACTGTGGCAGCCTTCTCCCTTCCCTTTCGCCCTCGCCCGTTCAGCCCTGTACCTTACCAGCCTTCTTTCTTTCCCTTTTTTCTTGTTCTTCTTCGTTTCTTTTCTTTCCTTTTCCTTTCTGCTGCCGGCGCACTCCTTTGGTTGGTGCTCGCTGTGGACAAACGAGTGCGGCCTGGAAAAGCGCGGGAAGCGAAGCTTTTGTGGCTGGCCGCTCCCTCTGGACCGATAGCCTTACTGCATATTGGACTCAAACGCGACGTTAGGCACCCGGCCGCGGCGGAGCAGGCTGCCGGCGCACTCCTTTGGTTCGTGCTCGCTGCGGCGAAGCGAGTGCGGCCTCCAAGCGCGCTGGACGCGAAGCTGTTCTTGCTGGTTGCGCCCTGGGGACCGATAGCTTTCTACTTTCTATATAGGATTCAAAAGTGACGTTCGGCACCCGGCCGCGGCGGAGCAGCCGCCCTTGGCAAGACGCACAGCAAACCCAAAGGGAGAAAGACCAGGGATAGGCAAACTGCGACAAACGCAGGTGATTGAGCCCGGCCCCTCTCGCATGCTGAGCGAGTGTGATACCACTACACCAACTGCCGCTGAGCTGAGGAGGCCGAGAGTGCTCAACTACCTGCTGGGCACAGCTTTCAGCGCTGAAGCTCTGTCACGGCCAGCCCGTTCGGCCTGTTTTCTTCCTATCTGCTGCCGGCGCACTCCTTTGGTTGGTGCTCGCTGTGGGCAAACGAGTGCGGCCTGGAAAAGCGCTCAAGCACCTGCAGGGCACAGTTTTCAGCGCTGAAGCTCTGTCACGGCCCGCCCGATACAAGCAAGCAAGCAAGCAAGCAAGCAAGCAAGCAAGCAAGCAAGCAAGCAAGCAAGCAAGCAAGCAAGCAAGCAAGCAAGCAAGCAAGCAAGCAAGCAAGCAAGCAAGCAAGCAAGCCTGAACAAGCCAAAAGCCGCTGCCAGAACAAGAAAAACCTGGGCTGGCCCCCAGTGGAGGGGTCGGCGGCACTGGGCGGCAGCCCTTAAATTATGCAGCGTGTGTGTATTATGTGGCGAACATGCCCAAGCTGACTTTTGTTTCTGCCGACCCCCTTGCCAAAGCCAGCTTAACCTTACAAAGGGGCTGCAAGGCGTGTTCTAAGTTGCTGCTTGGGGAAGGGTGAAAACGAGGTTGGACTGGCCTACTTTTGCCACGACAAACTCTGACCATCAACTCCAACCTCCAACTCTGACCTCTAACTCTCACCTCTAATCTGAACCTCTGACCCTAGCCGCTACTTCTAACCTCTAGTTGTTTTTTGCTTTTCTTTTTGGTTTTAGATTTCTTTGGCTGACCTCTTCTTGAAGCTAATCCGCCGGCGCCGCTCACGTCCTTGGACCACTTCAGACTCTCAGGCGCAGCTGGCGGAGCCTGAGGGACAAAAACAACTCAAGCGGGCATCATTCCTCAAGTCTTGGTTGACGTTGGAAGGGGAGCAACAAATTAAATTTTAGCAGTTCACTGGGGATTTCAAGGCAAAAATGCAAAATGTTTCCCAACAACAACCATGAAGTCGCAGCCTCCGGACGGTGACGGGAGTTGCAAGGGTCAAGACGTAAGCTATTGATTCGGTCTTGCCGGGGCAGGTTTTGGGCTGGAGACACTATGGCTCTGAGGCTTGGCAGCGCCGGTTCTCTCAGATCCCAGCTGGCGTCACAGCCAGAAACCGCTCTTGCCATTTGCCATTCCCTGCCTCGGCACGTCTGCCAGTCTCTGCCATGTGTCACTCTGGTTGTCATGCACCGCATGCACTCCAGGTTGCAAACCCGTTCCGCACACTTGACGCCCTGCAAAAAAAGCTAGGCCATGGCCCAAAATGTTGTGTGCTTCTTCAATATGCTTGTTATGTATAGGGTGGGTGTTTTTCAGCGGCCCACAACAAGGGCGCAAGTAATTTTCTTAAGAAATCAGAAAGCAACTCTATCAGGCTCTTTATAGCTCTCTCTCTCTCTCTCTCTCGCCCTGGCCAAGCGTCGCAAAGCTTGTACACCACCACGCCGGTGGACAACACCTCGAGGGAACGAGCCTTGCGCGTGGCTCGTTTCTGCCGCTTGCCGAGGAAGCCGCGAGCCATCGCCAGCCCAATCAAAAGTGGGTAACCAAGGACCTCTAGAAAACATGGTTCCCCCTTAGGACCCACTTCCTGCGACAAAACATATGGCCGTGGCTCAACTTTCCGCTGCAATTGCGCAGGTTTTAGTCTTTCTTGCCATCTACCAAGGTGCCATTTTGGGTACATTTTTCAGCCACAGCCACATGGCCATGGGCCAAAATCCCGTACCCCCAGTGAACATCCCAATAATAGGTTCTAAAATGGGTGGTGCACCAATCCCAAAATGGAATCCCATTCAAATTGAACCATGGCCATATGGGAACAAAAATACCCCGCTGCCAAAAAGCCGAAGTCTGGTGGCTTCCAAGTCTCCGGCCACCAGTCCCTTGCCTTCCCCAGTGCCTCAGTGAATGGCCGAGTAAGGCGGGTGCGCTTGGTGCCTTTTTGGGGTGGCTGTAACGGGAAGCCGAAAGGAAAATCCAGTCTTTGGGGTCTCACGATTTGAATCCCCACATCTTGGAAGGGACATGGGACTGTACTGCAGAAACGTGATGCGTCTCTGGCAAGAAGGAGGTTTGTGGCGCACAATGCCTCCACACGGAAGGGAGGGCATGTGTTTCGGTGTTGAGCTGAGTCTGCTGTTCTGGTTTGAAAAGGAACTCCACCTGAAAAAGTCTCTGGTTGCTGCCAAGCGAGGGAAACATCACCTAGCCACGAATCTAATTTGCACAAATTCAGCTCTCACAACACATTCCTCTTTTTGATGTGAAACAGAAGGATATGGCAGTGGGTCAAAACCAATGGTACCATCTTGGGGTAGGTGCACCACCCAGTTTAGTCTATTTTACTGGAGATTACGATGTTCACTGCAATTGCGGGCTTTTGACCCTATCTTTTTTGCCGTGCTTTTGCTTTTGCGGGGTTGGACCTCAGTGACGCATGACCCATGCAACACACTCTGCTGACACACATGACTCTGTCGAGCACTCTGCCAGGCCGCGTTGGATCCGAAGCTTTGCCCTGGACACCTTCGCCTTAGCCGTTGGAACCGCTCCTTCCATTTGGCTAAGGCACCGGGAAAAAATACCAATATTTCCGGTAGTGATGAATTCCTTTTAAAACCAACAAGGGAAAATTCAAAATATTCTGATGCAAATGGAGGACTCTCTGGTATCTTCCACTTGAGTCATCGCCTGGTATTAAAAATGCTCTACCCCTCAGTTGTTCAGTGACCCTGGAAAAAAGGGAACCCCTTTTGGGGAAAACAATTTTTAGTGGGGCCGCCACAACCAAAAGAAACAAAGGGTGCCACTGAACAACTGAGACCCAGAACCATATTGCAGAACGAAGAAGGCCGGCACTTACTTCTGATTGGGACTGTCTCTTAATTTTTATCCTGCATTTATCCGGATTTTGATTGTGGCTCACTTCAAGTTTGAACCAATGCAGCTTGGCTAAAGTTCTGGACGTTGTCAGTTTCTCTGTACCAGTAGGGCAGATAGGAAATGTGAGACTAGCCCTTTCAACCATTGCCAACATTTCTACAGAAGAAGCAAATCATATGAGTCATAATCAAAACCCGGTACTAAAATGGTCGACCCAGAACCATGTAAAGAATTAAGAAGGCACATATCTGCAGCTATTTATGGTTTGGATTGTCCCCTACTAACCTTCATCTATCGGGGGTTTGAGCACGTGGCTCATATTGCAACCCGTCTTTGTCACATACCCTGTTGATTGCGGCCAGTTCCACCCGCCTCATGCGCTTCCCTCTGCTTCGCTTCCGCACCTGCGGTCGAGGTTTTGCGCTGCAACATTTCCAGCCGCAAATCGAACCAGTCACAAACAAACACATACACACAAACACACATACAAGCACAACACAACCACAACCACACCCACAAACACAAACACAACCACAAATACATGTTATACACGCAAGCGCGATTTGGACGCTGCATTGCTTTCCCTCTTCAGCATGGCTGAAAGAGTCCGAATGAGCCGTTTGCAGAAGGAAGCACGAGCCAAGCAGTGCAACAGTATGATCCGTTTGCCAAACCAGCGGTCCATTCCCTCCCAACTCCCTCAGCTCGCTCTCTGCTATAAACAAGCCCTCACAAGACATGGAAGGCTGGTAAAATAAGGCAAGCGGCTTGTCACGAAGGCTTTCATTTTGACACACACACACACACAACCACGGTTTGCTGTCAAACGGTCCACATACCGCTCTGAGGCAACCATTTCCCAGTTCTCGAATGAACCATCCACACTTTCCGGCGGAAAAAAAAAAACAAAAAAAAAAAAAAACAAAAAACAACAACCAACCGAACCTCGGGGAGCGAGGGCGTGCCTTCTTCCAGTGCCGCAACTTGAGCCTTTAGCTCCGTTGCCTGACACGTCAGTCGTATCAATGACTCTGGAGGCTCAGTGGCATTTCAGGGTTTGGGCACGGGAAAAACAATGCAACCAAAGAACACCATGCAAATTGATGGCTCTTTTGCGGCTTCACTCCCGTCACTTCGCCAAGCGAACTGAGACTATTGACTCACAGAAAGCACGTAAAAACATCTCAGTTTCACGTCAAAGACTGCGGAAAGCACACTGTTGAGGCTGTACAGAGAAAGTCACAATTGAGAGAGCCAAAGACAGGTGCATGATCCACTTGACGTGTACCAAAGCATCAGCCCCTCTGTAAGCCAAAAAAGCTGAATAGTTCGCTGTGCGCCATGGAGCACACAACAGTGCATGAGCGGCCCACCTCCTCCGTTGCTTTTGCCTTGCAGGACCGCACATTCTGAATCCCGTTCCTATGCTTGTCTCCGTGCTCTTTGCGTTCAAAGACTAGAACGAAGAAACACAAACGCCAACTTGAAGTCCCAAAGACTTGAACCCCTTGGGTGCTGGACAGCCCGGGTTGATAGCGTTGGGTGGCTTCTTTGGTGGCTGTTTCTATTTGATGTGGAGATGCATGCGTCAGACCGCTGGGCGTTGACCTCTCAAGAGCAAAGCCTTGGAACTGACAGGTATGCCACTCCAGCCCTTCACACAGCCTCTAATCAGTCATCAAATCCCATGTGCTTTTGCCCCAAGCCATAAGTGTACTCCGAAACGAAGGCGGTGCAATCATCCCTATGCTTTCTGCATCAACTTATTTTTCCAGCCTGAGACAGGCCATACTTGGCCAAGGCACCTCATAGCAAATTGTGAGAATGTTCTTGGTTGACGTTAGAAGGGAAGCAACAAACATATAATAGCAGTTAAGTGGGGATTTCAACCACTAAACCACAATAAGCAAAAATGTAAATGCTTCCCAACAACAACCGTGATAATGTTTCCAAGGGACATGCTTTCTAGCTTCTCGCATATTCTTGCAGGGGAAGCAGCAAGGTCTCTCCTGTCGAATGCGTTGGGTTTGGCATCGTTGCTGTTCCCTGCCGCTCCCAAAAAGCGCTTTGAGCGGCATGAACCACAGCCTTTGGAATGTGTCAACCTGGTCATACCCCAACCGCTGGATATTCTCTCATAACAGCATCGCCATGCTTCTCCCTTTCGCGCCTGCTGCTGCGCAAGAGCACTTTCAAGCCTCGCGATTGCGCCAAGAACCATCCTGAGAAAACTCTCGTCAAACTTCAAAGGAAGGGGTCAGAACAGTAGGATCTTGCCATTTGTTGCATCTTTCAGTCTCCTTTCAATGCTCCAAAGATAGGGGCACCATGTTGTTTGTGCTCAATCTCGGTTGTTCAGTGACCCTGAAAAAAAGGGAAGCCTTTGTTTGGGAAGACCATGCTTTAGTGGGGCAGCCACCAAAAAAAAGGGGAAAATAATTGGTGCCACTGACCAACTGAGCAAAAGGAAAAGGCCATCCCCAAATCATCAGCTAGCCTGTCTTGCTTGGCCCGGCAGTTTGTGCCGAGACGCTCTGATGCCTTCAGGGAACTCCTGGGCAAAGTGAGAGGCTCGCTTTCCGGAATAAGCAGAACCCCTGGTTGATTTTTATTGGGGGGTGTCCCCTTTTAGTGGGGATTCAGACCGCTTTTGGAGGGAACACCCCCCCCAATAATGGGACGGGGTTATTAATCCTGGGTCAACATTACTCGGCAAGGCGGATTCGGCACCCACAGAAAGGCGGCTTGGGGGGATGTGGGTCGTCAGCACTGCGAAGCGACACACAAAGTAAAACGACACACTTTGAAGTGTACGATTTGGGGCCGTTTCGCAAGGTTGATTGTTGATCTTGACGGCGTCACATGAGCTGGGGGGCCAACTGCGTTGGCATGTCGCGCGGCGCTTAATGGTTGCAAGGGAGCGCTAGACCATTGCAGTTCTTGGCACGCCGAAGCAGGTAGCAGAGCCGCGGACCCTTGCAAGAGGATCATCCGCTCCCTTGCTCGCGTCTGCTTCCGGGCTTGCGGCACCGTGTCGATATGACAACGAGCAGGTAACACGGTAAGCCTAGTCATCAAGCGACCACCACCTCCAGCGCCGTTTTTTGGCTGAACTGGAGCAGCCCCAACGCTTGCGACCTCAGAATGCGTTGCATGAGACGGAGACCAACCCGGCCTGGGGCCATGTTGGAGACTTGAGGTGCTCTTACTTGGCTTCACGCGTCCACCGGCTTGGTGGCGACTTCTGCAGTACCCGCAGAAGCTCTGGCCAGCAGGCCATTGGCACAAGTTGGCAATAGCAAAGCTGAAACTTGCTGCATGACCTCGAATGTCCTCTGATGTAGTGACAAAGAAGGCAAGACGCCAACTTCTTAACATGATGGACCCCCTTTTGGTTGGCTTTCAGGGCACCACGAAATACATTTTGAGCAACACCCACGTGATACGCTGAGAGCACAATCGGCCTTGACAACGATCGGCCCTTCATGTCGCAGAAATGTGTAGCACAACTGTGGTGCTTTTGCGTTTCCTTTCTGGTGGGTGCACACTTGCTCTTGCGCTCATTGATATGCCAACCTGAAGATTCAAGCCTACGGTACCAAAAAACACACACTTTGGGCACATGCAAAGAATGGCTCCCATGCTACAAACAACATGCAGGCCATCCGTCATTAAAAGTAGCCGTAGCGGTTCAGCAAAAAGAAAGCGCACAACTGCAAAGTAACGGTCCACCAAATACTTGAATTCCTGGAGTTTGCCTGCATTAGTGGGTCTAGGGAAGTTTACCTTCCGTCACAGCTTCTAACTGACCTTTGCACATACATGTTATCAGTCTTGCTCAGGTCTGACAGCCAAAGGTCGCAGTATGCAGGTCGCATTTCACGGGTCCTGTCAAGCTGCTGTCGCAGGTCTTGCTCCAAACCTAGCGGCATCGGCATCGGAATGCATCCATCTATTTTCGGTGGTTTTGCACGGCCATCCAGGCAGAAGACTGTGATTTGGTAGACAGTGGTAGGTCATGGATCTGCTCCTTGTAAAAACACTAGATCTTTGATTGATCTCCTTCGGTCTCAAAGCTTGAAGCCATAGCCTAAGGATCTATATATCATTGCCGTGGCTGCAGCACACACAAACACGCAAGCCAGCAAGCAAACAAATACACACACGCACACATGCACCCTTTACATTTGTTGGCTGATGTTTAGCTTGGACAGTTGCACATCTACTGCTGAGGCCATGCACAAGACAGAGAAACGATGGATGCATTTCGAAAAGCACAAGCAAATCTATGACCTACCCCTGTAGACTGCCAAATCACAGGCTTCTGCCTGGATGAGGGCCCTGGCACTATAGCAAGGGGTGTGTTAATTTGTAGCTTGGCTTGTGACATGGAACGTGCATCACGAGCGTGAGGCATGGACTGGGTACAATGCTGGACCCCTTTGGCTTTGCCCTGAGCGCATAACACACAATGCTTGAAGTTGCGAACACCATGAAGCGATTACTCGACTGCACATGCTTCCCCCCTGAGGGTCACTCCACGCACAGGCCTGGATGCATCTCTAACATAACCCCGCTAGCCATGAGCACCGCGCCAGTGCGTTCAGGAGCTTCAGCCTCGGGCTCGTGCGCCAAAAAAACACGCACCTGAAATTGGGTGATGATCTTGTGTACATTGCCACGATCCGAATGAGGAACCCGCACAAACATCCGCGTAAACAGAACTGCCCTGCCTCCAGCAGCTTCGTTTGAAGCGCCTCAGCCCAAAAATGGAAGCTATGGAAGCTATGGGACTGGATTTGGCATGTGCCCCGAGGTCCGTGATCTCGGCAAGCAAGGCTCTCAAACATGGCCATGGGTCAAAAACCAAATCGTACCCCCAGCGAACATCCCAATCCTCACTAAACTCCCGACTAAAATGGGTGGTGCACCTACCCCCAAATGGGATCCCATTGGCTTTGACCCACAGCCACATCAAATTTCGACAACCTTGGCGCCCGGACGCGAATGGTGGCCTCGTGCTTCTGGGCGCTCTCACGGCCTGGGCTTGCTTTGGGTTTTGGATCTCTCGACTCATTGATGCGAAGTGGCTTTGGAACTCATTCACCCATCTTCTCATCTACATAGGACATCCCCCTTTCTAGTGAAAGGGGCCTTCCTGGCTACGGTTCGAGCTGCGACATCAACACGACTCCTCGTTTGGACAGGATGGCAGGTTTTAAACACTCCTTTCATGAAACTTTACACGTGATCATTCTCGCACTCGCTTACGGGGAGAGTCCAGTGGTTTTGACTTAAGGAAGCCTTGAAAAATGACTCGCGCAGCATGTCGTACACTCTATGATGATGTCCGACCGGTCTGCTTGGTGCTGAAACAAACCCATGCACACGCAAAAATCCATCGCACTTGTCGTTTGCCAGCCGCTGATTGAACCAGTGAATGTTGGACAGGCAGTCAGGCAGTCAGGTAGGTAGGTAGGCAGGCAAGCAGGCAGGTGGTGACCGAGATGGACAGGTGGACCACTGCTCAATGCTTGCTGTACTTGGCTTTGCCAAACTCACATTGACATCCGAAGGACAATAGCAACAAACGGTGTGTGGACTCCCTGTGCAATGGATTGTAAGCTGCATGTCGCCGCTTCCCTGGCGTCCTGGCGGGAACGGCGGCGCGAGACCTGCAGTCTGCGCCGCTCGGTCTGCAGCTCCTGCGCGGGGCAGCACTGTACCTTCCCACTAATCATCTTAAAGCACCCCCCTCGAATGCCTTGCCTGCCTTGCCACTCAGGGCTGACCTTCACGGGTGCTTGAAGACATCTTGGCGAGCATCTCGATTGCCAAACTGGAAACCATGCTCGTGGTTGTTGGGTTTCCACCCCATCTGGACACAGGCCGTGGGCAAATCGAGCCTCCCGCAGCTTGTTGGGCTTCTCGCCTGAAACTTGGCACCCTTTGCAGTTCAAAACATCTGACACCCGGAACCTTGAAACATATTTCCCAGCTCAAGGGCTTGTACTCGGCTCTCGGAATCTCATCGCAAATCTTGATGGCCTGCCATTCAACATCCTTCCATTTGCCCGACTTGGTATTGATCTATCCCCCCATGCACAGCGTCCGTCAGTCTGCCTGGAAGGGTGATGGCCTTGAGCACTGCGCCGAGCTGCACCTGAGGAGAGAGGCAGAACATTTTTGTGCAACTGAAGGTCCCAATCTCCTCTGGTCAGATGTCCGGCCTCCAGCTGGTTCTGTTGTTCCAGCCAGGGTCCTGGCAGAAAGCAATCGCAGGAAGTCGCAGGTGGAATGATTTATCCACCAGCCACAACCTGATCTGCATTCTCTGCGAGTACAGGCGCACACTTTGAACAGCTGTGTAGTGGAAAGTGCTTCACCGATCCGTTTGGACTGATGTCCCGGGAGCTCTGATGCAGCACGCCGGTTCTGACTGGCGGTTACGTGACATCGTAAGGTTGAGACTTGGCTAGTTCATCACACTTTCGCGGTATGAACATAACCGTCGATCTTCTCCCTGTGATCCTAACCTGTTTTCGTTTTGGCAACCATTGACCAAGGCCCATGGTTACACTCCAGTCCAGGAACATGGAACCTCTTCCCTCTCACTGCAAAACATCACCCAATCTCCCATTTCTCCCAGGTTCCGTTGGCAGGCTGCACCTCTCACCAAGTCCAATCGAATCCAACGCCCCGGTTTTTGGGTCCTCCCGCTCCTCAGTTGTTCAGTGACCCTGGGCAATAAAGGGAACCCTTTTTGGGGAAGACCATTTTTATTTTTGGTGCTGGGCAGCCACCAAACAACAAAGGGAAAAAGAATTGGTGCCACACAACTGAGGCTCTGACCTCCTCCCTCCCCCGCGCTTTTCGCTTTTCGCTTCTCGCGTGCGCTCGAAAAACGTCGGTCCTGCGGCGGCGCGCACCTGCGCCGCGAAGGCCTGGAACTCCGCGGTCTGCAGCTCCAGCGTCGAGAAGAGCTCGTCGCAGGTCCTGGAGGCCTCCAACAACGCGAAAGCGCGAAAGCGGGCAAAAAATCGCGCCCCCCCCCGCGCCAAATTGTGGCGAGGGAGCCGGAGGCTTCTTTTTGTGGGGTTGGTTGGTGAGAAACAGTTATTGTTTTCACCCACCCAAGGGGTGGTGATTTTTTTTTTGGGCCTTTCCAGCAACCCAAGAAGGGGTTCCCACAAAAACACGCACTCTTGAAGATGCTTTCCATCCCCAAGCCTGCGGGTGTTTTGGGGGCTGAATGTGATATATAGCCAAGCACAGGTTGGACAGGGGTTGGGCCCAAGACAGTACCCGTGGATCTTTTTAAGGCACCTGTTTTGGAAATTCGTTGCGGCATGCGCAAGGCCGAGCTGGGAAGGGGTGGGCCTTTCGGATTCCTTCTGGAACAGCCCCCAAAACGGTAACCCTCAAAAGGAGACACAGCCATGTTTTTGTGGTGCCTGCTCAACATCTAGCTGGCTGCAAAAACCTTTGCCTCTGGCGAGAGTAAATTCAATACACGCGCACATGCACAACACACAGCTCTGGAGCTCTCGATGAAGTCCCCAACCCTCCAAAGCAACACAGAGCGTTGGCTACAACGCAAACTCTGGGTGCGGCGCCAGATCTAAAGCTGCCTCAGGAGATGCGTAGCCGATGCGCCCCGAAACATCCCACATCCGGATTCCAGCGGGGCTTTGGGCTGTATTTCTTATCTGCAGGCGTTGCTGTGAACCAACCGCCCTAAAAGATCTTGACAGGTGGATTCTTGGCCTCCGCTTCTGTCCCATCGTATGCACCCCAATCTCAGTGAGCGTAGGGGCATTCAAAAACAACTTCCCTGCAACTCGCCCAGTGAAATGGAAGCACGTAGCTTTCCTCATGTCGAAAACAAAACAAACGTTACCAACCACAAAGCTCGGAGGGAGTCATCTAAATCATAGGCAACCATCTGTGATGCCTGTTCTTGATTCGTAGATCCTGTACTCCGGCACAGAATGACACACATGCCTTCTAAAAAAGTCGGCCCTTTCATCTTACAAAACACACACGCACACACACACACACACGAGCTGTCATGGGCGAGTATGCTTCTGCGCGCTCTTGTCTAATTTTTGTGGCGGCGCAGTCTTCAGTAGCCCACGCAACACTTTTGGAGGCAAGCCTAATTGCTACATGATCTTGTCGACCGATGATGCAACCAGCTGTATACCTGATGTTTCCGGACGTGCACCCCCCCGGTGCCGTTAGTGCTTACAGAGACTAGGGTGTAGAATTCTTACAACCCCCAAGCTACACATTGTCAGACCATCTTTCACAAGGCCTAAGCCACTAGCCGTCGAATGTCATCGAACCCTCGCCACCCTCTTGGTGGGTCTACTTCAGCAAATCCATCTTTCCGATCTATCCATGAGCCTCAAAACAAGGAACACCTATGCTTGGTTATCAAGTTGGCTTCCCTTCAAACAAGCTCTGACTTTTAGTTTTGACACAGTGCGGTGTGATTGTTTGTCACACTCAGGGACCACCCCATTTTGGACGGCTTCACGCGGGAGCACATAGAACACATGGCATGAACAGCTGCGGCTGGTTTCCTTCTGGTTTCCCACTAACACTGCAGGATCAGCCACAAGGCAACCCCTCGTATTGCCAATTCTATGGCTTTGATGACTTTTCCAGCTCCGTTCCGTCTTTCTGTAGCTCCATGAAACCCATCGAACATGTTTTTTTGTTTTTTTTTCCCCCGTCCCCTTGCGACTATAAACTGTGCCTGTTCACTCAGCGGTCCCTGGCAGGGGGTACCCCGCCAAAAACGGGCTTCGGGCTTCCCTTCGGCTTCCGAGCCTCAAACAAGACCAAACGCTCGCTGATCTGCGGGACACATCCCCTAAACTCGATGGGTTCCAGGTGGGTATGCTTTTTCTTCTTCATTTTTTTATTATCCTTTTTTAAAGACTAGAGAAAGCAGCAGCTTTTAGCTTTTGGCTCCATTTACTGTACCATGGCAAGCCATGTTGGGGGTACCTACTTTTTGACAGGTGCAGGCAACCCAATATTCTTTGGTCGTTTGATTTTTTTGCCACCCAGGAATTGGACCGCAGGTCTTGGTCCTTTCTTTTTTCCATTTACCTTCGTGACCTAGGTCCTCCAGTAGAGAGGTTAGAATAAGTTGGTACCAACTTTCTCCTGCAGTCTATTTTAGGGGAACCCTCCCAAGCAAAAAGGGTAAAAGTTGGTTCTAGTGCTACCTTCCAGTTCCATTCTTTCCAGGGATCCTTCTTTCCATTCTTTACACTTCCAGTCTTTCCTTCTACAAGGGCACTACTGCGAAAACCTAGTGAGTCAGCGAATCCACCGACGCCCCCGACGCCCGCGTGACGCGACGCCCGCAAGGCGCCTCCAGGTCCACCGTCTTCGCCTCCGCCGCCCGCAGGCGTCGCTGGCACGCCGCGGCCTTGCGAAACTATGTGGGTTTCCAACATGGGGTGAATCGTCCCCGGTTTTGGTGGGCTCAAGGGAAGCCACATGGAAATTACTCAGGTTTTGGGGGAAACCAAAGGGACACTACTCAGGTTTTGGGGGAACCCAAAAGGAAACTGGAGAAATGAAACTACGCAAACTTTTTGGGGGCCACTATTTGAAGACACCACCCCATACTTTTCCTTAACACATCAGCCCTACCAAGGGGCAACTCCTTAGATGGGCCAAACAAATGATAATCAAGAATTGTAATATGGGGATCCGCGAAAGGGACGGGGGCTTTGGGAGGGGCGAAGATGGCTTAGGGGGGGTCGGGCAAATTGGATACTAGGCCACTTTTTGCAGACCTTCAGCTGGTTTTGATAATGGGCAAATCATGGTGACTCCTTTGGGATAAAATCGGCCAGAGGGATCTCTCTTTGCCTCATGTATTGAAGTGATCGAGAGACCAGGACCCCGAACGAATCCTGGACGTGAAAGCGTAAGACAACCATGCACTTACTTTCGACCGGCAGTCCTGTGTACTCTTTCTTTCGATTTTGACACCTCTTGAGCATAAGATCTGCAAACCTGGATTTCTGAGCTCAAGTTGGAGGTGCCAGCAGTGAGCACACTTAGCAGTCCAGCTGCACCGCCATAAGAACTACTCAACCAGCACTCAAGATATGATTCAAGAGACGTGTTCTGTTTTCTGCTTAACCTCCCTCCCTGGAAGATAACTTTGCTCTTGGAGGGACCCCCTGCCAGGTGCCATGTTAGCGTATTCTTTTCGGGTTTCTCGAAAAAAGCAAAGCTTAACACAGTCCAGCCTCGGCAGCCTGAGGCCTCGTCTTCGACAAAAGCTCCTCCAGGACTTCCTGCAGCGTATGGTCTCAGCTCCCATTGGCTGCACTTATTGTATCGTCTGAGCCGTTCTTCCCTGCAGAACGGAAAAAAAAGCTCTCATGGCCATATTGTTGAAGGGTGCCTTCCATTTGCTTAAGCCCCCTGGACAAAAAAAATATATTGCCAATAGTGAAAGATTCCCATTAAAACCAACAAGGGAAAATAAAACATATTCTTAAGCAAATGGAAGGTGCTCTTCGCCTTGCTGCCTTGAGCTACCAAATGTGAGTCAAATTGCTTGCCTTCATCACAAGTTGAAGCCTGCGGCATCTCGGCCCCGAAAACCAAACGAAACAAACGGGGCCACCGAGGTCCCGGCGATTCGAGCCCCAAGCACCTCCTCTGCCTCGAAACGGAGAGGAACGTTTTGGGCTGCCTGATGAGCTTGGCTCAACAGGGGCCACACATAGAACCCTCGAAAATGGAAAAGTAGACTAAAACCTGCGGTCCCCTGACTCTTAAATTTTGAGCCACACCCGTATGTTGGTCAATGATCTTCCATCACTGGACGCATCCAACACACCGGACAGGGTCAGCTCTCTCTCACCTGGCGCTTTGTCATGGGCAGGTCCATGGTAGATTCTTCCAGAGCGCCGACTATATATATATATGTATACATGTAAAGATACATGTCATACGTAGTACATTTGGATGTATCCCCGGCTTTGGCGTGATAGATTCTGGCAGAATGACGGACTGTCATGTTGGTTCTTCAATTATCCAGCAAGCCCAGCACAAACACGTGATTCAACAGTCAGGATGGCACGAGCATGCTCGCCACAAAAACAAAAAAACAGCTTTCCACATCATATATATATATATATAATGGCAAGAGAAAATGGGACACCGGGGTCAAGCAGGAGTGTCCAATGCGTTGTGCAGGGTACTCTTGAGATCGAGCTTGCACATGTATGTTGGATTTGCTTGATTCGCGAGCTTGGACATGAGCGATCTGTGCACGGACTTGATGTTGCTCAAAGCCACAGCACTGGCTGAATAGCGAGGCAGAAACGGTGCTTTCCACTGTTTTGGAGCCCAAGTCGTCTCCGAATAGCGAATTCGTGAGAGATGCTGAATGTCTATTGCCACAGCCACATAATGAAATATCCTGTGCACCATGTCCAACTCATGAGTGTCGAAAGCTTGCCAAACCCACATATCAACGAGGACCCTACACAACATTCTCTGAACTTGCTAAATTCTCCACCCAGCCCGCTTCAAAACCCGTTTGAGACTAGGCCTGCGCTGGTCCATCCAATTCAGCGCCAGCTGAAGGTGACACAACTTTCTCTCCTTGCCAACTATGCGATCAGCCGTTCAACTCAGATGCGCATAGCATTTAGAATGTCAAAATACATGACATGCCAGACTGTCATGCCGGCATGCGGGCAACGTCGAGCCACGCAAGCCAGCCGAACACTTTGATTTCTGATGGACCTAGGAGCAGCTTCAAATCTAGCATAAACTTACGGATCCACCTCTTCGTCTTTGCATTCGGTCCTTTCTCCAGCAGTGTGCCACAGACCTTAGTGCCCGCGCCAACAGCAACCAGCTTCAAGAAATATCCTCAGAAGAAACGGGCCTAGTGTCTGTCGCACATGCTTGCCAAATAAAAGCGATGTATTTGTGCCTCTCTTCCAGCATTTGTTGCGACGTAACAAGAGCTCCAAAGGGCATGATATCTGGTCTGTCACTTTTGTTCACGGGATCGCGCTGGCTGCTGCACAAGAGTTTTGGCATGTGGCAGCAGTGATTCTGATCCTTCTCTTCTGTTCAACCTTTCATTTCAGCTGTTGAGACCACGGGCAACTTCATGTTGGTGGTGAATCAGACATAGCCCTCAACAGAATAGGTCACAACCTCCGTTTGTTTCCCTCACCTCTCGTCTTCGCATGACTGGTTTCACCGCCCCGTTCCAACGCATCCCTCAGTTGTTCAGTGACCCTGCACAAAAAAAGGGAACCCTTTTTGGGGCTTGGACCATTTATGTAGTGGGGCCACCAAAAAACCGGGAAAACGAAAAAGACTTGGTGGCACACAACTGAGATCCCGCCAAGGTGCAGGGCATGGCCAGGATAGGCCCAGGCCTGAACTGGCCGAAACCGAACCGACGATCTTCGTCCGGCGCTTGTTCGTCCGGGCCGGGCTTCTCGGTTTGGTGGCTGCTTTCAATCCAACAAGAAAGCACCACCTCAATTTGGATATGGCCGTGGGTCAAAAATAGGGTAACCCTAAAATGGCACCCTGGTAAATGGAAACAATGACAAAAACCTGTGGTCCCCTGGTGGCTTAATGTTGAATACCCACATGGATCGAAATTGAAAGCCACACCAAGAGCAACAAGAGCAACACCTCTGATATCCGAATTCAATTCTCCCCTGGATTCAAGGCGTAAAAGTCTGGCCTTTTGCAATCCATGGACTTCCGGTTGATGCTTAAAGCGTCCCATGAACAAAAGCGCTATAAGAATAAGAACTGGACCCTTGCTCCGGCCGTTCTGGAAGTCTCTGCAACGCTGCAAGTTTTTTTGTAGAACGGTTTACCATATTTGCTGGCGACGCACAGTTTGGCCAAATGCCAGGCCCTGTGCAAACAAATAGTGCTTTGATTGAAGAAATGCCAATGTGTTGTGACATGGGAAGGAGTTGCCGCCAAAGTGCAGCTTGCTTCTTTTTGCAACACGCAAGCTGCAGGATGCTTCTGAGCAGTGCCGCAAATATGATCAAATTAGCGTCTACTGAAAGGGAGGATGCAGGTAGGGCTGCAGGTTGGGGGATTCACGACGCTCTGAATGAAGCCATCCTTTTTCCCCTCATTCAAGGCGTCATGTCCAACTCCAAAGCAACCAGACCTTTGCACACAATATACATCTGCATGCCTGGGCTGGATTTGCATGGTCTTCAAAATGATCCAAATCCATACAGCCACGCCCAAACAAGGAATTTGCCGGCCTTCCTCATCCGTCCACTTGGGGCTAGCGAACGTGTTGGATGCCCGTAGCGCACGATGTGCGCCTAGCCGAGGAATGCTTTCGTATGATGGGAACCTGCCAAACTAGGACCTTTTTACGCATAAATCAACAAGGTCTATCAGACTAGATTCCCCTTGCAACGACCTTGCCCTGCTCATTCTCTCGTTGCGAATCTTACGCTATGCCCACAACTACTTACATCAACCAGGACTTTAATGAAGGGAAGAACGGCTGAACATGGGGCGCCTCGTGTTGCTGCCAGCTTTCAGCCACAAAGTAGGTGCAAAACTCCCATACCTCATGGCTCCAAAAAATTATGCCTTCACCTTCGATTTGTGCCAACGAGGGCCAATTCTATCTCCGACCCATCAGACACTGCGCAGGAACCGACTCCCGCTCAAGCAAAGTGCCAATACCACTTGCAGGTTGCATCATGAACTTGCACTCAACCTGTTCGAAACCGCTGTAATTCTGTGCCTAAGATTGGCTGGCATGATCTGCCCACAGCTGCTCTCGCGATGTCTATCACATATGGCAACCAACCACCCATGGGAGGACCCTGTAACCCCGGTGCAGTTGTCGGCATCTGCACCTGCCTGTGTTGCTTGTTTGGTGGGATTTTCCATTTGAAGACATTGGCCAACATGCAAAACACAGAGAATCAGCATCGCTGTGATTGGCCGAACGGTTGAAGGCACAAGATATATCGTTTTTTTTTCAGAATCCACGACAGGTGAAACACAAAAGGACATGAGTACGAGGCTTCAAGTATATCCGTGCAGTGCAAATGAACTGGGAATTAACAAAGGCTACCATAGTTTGAGATAAAATTGATGCTGGTGCTCTCGCGTTTCTATGAATGCAAAGGATGTCTCACTCTTTGATGAGAATGTTTTTTTCATGGAACTAAGCCTAAAGCTTATGTATCGTTCATCAGCTGCTAGTCCTTTCAGGGTTTGCATTTCCCATTGCAATGAACAGCCTCCCTTGAAAAGGGTTTCTACACTACCAGGAGAACTGCTTTTCTTTTTTCCCACAAACAGTGGAAAAGGCAAACCATGGGTCAGACTTCTGGGGCTCCCCACGCTGCAGCGCCGCAGTCTCCACGTGCAAGTCCAGCGCCAAAGGCTCCTGAGGCTCCTGCTGGCTCCACTTGTCTCAGTCTGGTTGCGTACAGTTCGAAGCCAGGAAATCCCAACGTCCTATCTCCATATATCCAGTTTCTCATGTCTGATGACATGGCTTGACAGCCTCCTGCTGACCACGGCCATTGTACTGGAAAAGCTCATGGCTGACGCGTGGCCATGGGCGTTGAAAACGCAGACGATCCAGGCTGGGAAGGTGGCGAGTGTCCTTGGGACCCTTGGAGAATGGAAACAACTGCCCGTCCTCACCCCACAAAACCAAGCGACGTTGGCTCCATGATACGTATCGAAACCTTGCCATGTACCGCTTGGGGTACTCCCGCAGTGCTCTGAGGCTCCAATGATCTAAGAACATCATCGTCCGACGGCATAATATCCGCCAGCACTATGAAAACACGAGGCCTGAGCATCAACATGGGAAGCTTAGGCCACGTGTCGCATGCCCAAGATGTCGGTCCTCGAATTCTGCCGCTGCCACTGCCGCAGCCTGCGAGAAGCTATTCAACATGTCGCCCGCTCAGATTTGCTGCTTGCAAGCCAGGCTGATGTTTATTTGAGCTGTCACTAGACCTGCAATCCTTCTTCCAGCTGTTAGGCTGGAGGCCAGAACGAAGCAAGTTCCACAAGTCAATCAAATTTCCAAGGCTTGATTCCATTTGCATCCAGCCAAAACAACACGTCCCGTCGAGAATGCAGTCCCACGTGCCATGGCCAACTGAGAACCTCCAATGTGGTGGTACAACTGCGGCACTTGTCACAACAACTCTTGTAGATGATAGAAACATGCCTCACCTTTAAGGAGATCGATCGCTTCACAGGCTGCAGCCTTTCGGTTTACCAGTAGCTACCCCTGCGAGTGTCGACTGAAAGGTAACCTTCTGCTTTCGAGGGAAGTTGGTACCATGCCGGTGACCAGGATAGGTGTGAAAGGCTTTCTAGCAATTTTTAATCATTGGGCAAAGCTAGAACAAGAAGTCATGCACCACCTGGTGGCGTTCCTGGCCATAATCCAGGCAGCCATAGGGCATCCATTCTCAGACTCTCAGACGTATGCGAATTGCTGCGCTATAAAATCTATGTTCATGACGCCCGGTCAAGCATCATGCGTGAGCTTCAATGACACCAAAAGCGAACCGCCACTTAGCACGCTGTCCCTGCCTGGATTGCGGGTCTTGTGCCGGCCGCCTGGGTCAACGGAGACCGTGCCAAGGGCCCCTTCTTTGATTCACATTGCCACATGAGGTTTGTCTACCAAGCAATATCGGTGTGCTTCTCTTTGGAGGGTACCCTTTTCCGGTTGGTTTGATTGACATGTCATTGCCTCTGGATGTCTAGACTAAGGCCCAAGACAATCTTGGACCGCCTTGCCCGCGACAATGCAAGCGCCTTGAGCAGTGTCACGCTGATTGCTGCCATTCAACATGCTTTCAAAGAGCAGAAGCACGTTTTGCTTCCAGCCCTCTTAAATGGCCGAACAATGATTGGAGGGGATCTGCTTCAGCAGCTATAAATGAAAACTACTCCGCTCCTTGCTGCTTGCAGGCAGCACAAGCGGATTCCCGCCGAGCACTCATCATACATATGCTGTACCCAAACAAGCATCTCGCTAATGAGAGAGACACATCTCCAGCAGAAAGGGGTATGATGCATGTAGCTCAGAATATCTGCACACACACAAACACAAACACCCACACCCACACACCCACACACACGCAAAAAACACCCACACACCCACACACCCACCCACCAACCCACGCACGCACGCAAGCACCCACACACACACACACACACCCACACGCACACACACACACACATGCACACGCCAGTGATTTGTGCTTGTGGCTTTGTGGTTTTTGATGGATGATGTGGCTCTCACGCGGTTTGTCTTCAACTGGCATCACTCTGACAGGGTCTCTTGGGCATTTCGCAGGCTTTCCTCACCCCGACTTGGGCGGACTAGAATCCCGACTTTGGCTGCAGAAATAACAACGGCGATGCGGCAATCTCGTGCGGCTCAACTGCGAGCCCTTGTTGATTTGCGTGACATACAACGTGATCTGCTTGGGTGCATTGAAGTGACATTCTCAAAATGGTTTAAAGGACAACTAGCTACCCTCCCCCCACCCCCAAATGCAATGTAGAGGCCGGCACCTCCTGCCGCAAATCGTACTGCATCTTCATGGATCACATGGCAACTTGGACGTTGGCTTGGCAGCTGTGTGACGGGTTCCAGCAGTCTTCTGGCCGTTGCCTTCAAACACCTAAGCAACATATGATCAACACGTTCCTCCAAGAGTGGCTTGAACTTAAGACCACAAGTCAATCATGACAGCTACCTAGCCGAGCTCGAGTTTTTGATTTTCACGTCGTTGTTTTTGCTTTCTCAGACCTTGACACATCAAACCAGGGATTGTGCGGTATAGCAGCTCAGCGTTCACTGGGCAAGCTTCAACGACATGCAAGCTTGCAAAGTCAAACTACTCTGTCCAGGGGAACGCGCGCCCAGAACATGCACTATGTCAGCACGTAGCTCCACCTCTCTCACAGTCGAGTATCATTGTTGCAAACTCCTTCTATCCTTAGCATCAGGCTTCGACCCGAGCCAATGCGGGCGAAGTGGCGACGAGCACTTGCCGGCGGTTGCGGTGCAACGGATGTAACATGTTTCCCTCTTTCCAGCTTGACACGCGGGAGCTCATTTGAAGCGCCCAAAAGTTGCGGCAACTCAGGGCTAACAGGGCTTCTCTTTGCAGGGCTGCTCTGGGCTGAGTTCAGCAAAGCCAGGGGGAAGATTTCTGGGCAAATTGGGTCTAAAAATGACCGAGGTGGCTACTTGCTCTCTTGCTGTCTGGGCAGCTATGATTGTCCATCAGAACTCGGTGTTTGATCTCACTTGCTTACCGAGACCGGTACAAATCATCATCTCGACTCCTGAAAATCCCTGCCCCACATCCTTCTGCACGCACTCATGCACTTCTCTCACACACCTGAAGTATATACACTGGTCAGCACCCCCCTAAACAAACCCACTTGTGGATGAACCCTTCTAAGGACCCATCTTCAATTTTCAGGGACTGCATCGCGAAAGGGTCCTTGCGAGCACGACGTGCCCGTCTCGGCCCATTTTCCTGATGATTGATGGCAAGCGATTGAAGCCTGTCGCAGACAGGAAACCAAGCAACACGCTATTTACAAGACCCAGCACCCATCCTCCAACCCCAAAGCAACCAAGGGTGAAAGGCATAATTATCCCATTCCCCTTACATCATTTTCTTTACCATGAGAAAGAAATTATATTGCAGCATCCACTTTGACCCGATGGCTCACGGTCCATGCGCAGGGCCAAAGTGTTACCACTGCGAAGCCCAGCTTCTGGGCAAATCCCCTGAGCGCCAAAGCCCGTTTGCCTGCGGAGATAAGCTTTGCTCTGCTTCACCGGCGCTTGTCCACTCCTACTTGACGTGGGTTCCCCATCGAACACAAACAACACCTCCTCAAACACAAATTGCTCCTTCCAGTAAGTCTTCCAGGGTTCCAAGACATCCTCGAAAGCTGATCCGTGAAAAGGAAAACGGCGCCCGACTTCCAAAAAAAACATGGAAGTGGACGAGTGTCTTGCCCAAAAGGAACTAACTCGTCTCCCAAAAGTTTATCTCCTCAGAAAGCTTCCCATTGGAGGAAGGCTACTTTCGCGTCTCGGCTTCGGGGCAGTGTGCACTCAGAAGTTGGTGGTCTTCCGCCGCCGCAAGGAAGGCTGCTGAGACTCCATCCAGGTCGATTTTCCTCAGGCGCGAAACACGCCTGCAAGGAGCACCGGGCTTGGGCTGGGGTCCTTTCAGTGGTGCTCCATGTGTAGGAGGCGTAACTAGGATTAACACGGAAGAAAAGGGAAGGGTGCCGCTACGAACCATGCTCTTTTTTGGGCGGGTGTACATTTGCGACCCTCCCATGCCAGCTGAATACCGCCTGCTTGTATCAAACAGAGCACATCATGCCTGAATCATCCGCCTATTCAACACGATTCCCGGAGGATGTTGGAGCTGGCGTCAGTCAGGAGTCAATTGGAGTCAACCATCTTCCGAGGCTCTATATACTTTCGGATGCTGCATGAAGGCTGTTGTATTCTGATCACCTTTCTGCACATCGAATGCATGACTCGAGCCACCGTAGGTTGCCAAGCTCTCGTCAACATCTGACCACCCAGATTCAACAAATAAGATACCTGCTAGTAAGCCTGCTAGCAACGCACTTGAGCCGCTCTAGCCAGTGTGCCTACTTGCTACAGGGACCCACGTTGCTGAGTCGTCCAAGAGGCTGGCTGGCTGGTTGGTTGGTTGCTTGGTTGGTCTCCTGCCAAAATGAACCAAGCTACCACTAACCAATCCGGCCAAATGGCAAAGCTGTAAATTAAATTGATTGCGGTCATGCACCACAAACAAAACTCTGTTCACGAATGGAGATTACTCAACAGCACCCACATCGAATCGTACCCGATACATGTAGTATAGACATATACAGCTTCCTATGTATATGTATATACATTATGAAATGGACAAATGCCTTGATCTTTCAGAAGAAAGCCAAAACTAGGGACACTCTCTGCTTTGAAGAGCTCCACCTGGTTACACCACTTTGACGTGCGAAAGGCGACCCGGGCCTCATTTCTCGCATAATTTTAGCTTCCAACCGCGCCCTCCTTCCTGATGCGGCCATCTCTTAGTTTCAACATTGCGACGAATCCTGTTCAACTACATCTGAGCCTCATCTGACAGAACGGTGACCTTTTCTGACCATTCCATTTGCAAGTCTTTTTTGCTAGATGCTTGTTGCTTCTCTTTGTCGTGCATTGGTCACCCCCTTGGCCTAGGCATGCCCTTCGAAGGACCCCACGGGACCCTTTCTGGGCCCGTTCTGCCCAGTGGCTCGGGGACCTGAGCGCTTCCACACGCCAATCTCTGGCCGCAAGGGCGGAGCCGGCAGCCAAAAGACCTGCGAATGCGCGGGGTGTCAGTGATTCTGACTGCAAAGTACGCGGCTTCCCATGCAAACTCCGGACAAGAACAACCCTGAAAACAGATTCTAAGGGGACACCTCCGGGATCCCGGGTTTTTCAGGAGGTGACTTTCATGCGTAGCCACTCGAAAGGGCCAAGTGCACCGGCCCAGCGAGGTACACCCCTTTGCCAGCCTCTTGCATGGCTTTCGATGCAACTCAACATGGCACGGCAAATGTCGGACAAACAACAACTTGGCAGTGAGTAAGCACATACAAACACCCCCTTCCTGACAGGAAGTATGAGCGAAAGTTGTTATCATCAACTAGTATTCGGATTGAGCACCGCTGCTTGGAACACTGCAACCTACCACAGACCTCCCATGCATGCGAAGATGAGGTGCTTGCGCAGGGGCGGTGTGTCTTTGGAGACGCGACGACGAAACGCCAACAAACGCCAGTGCTGAAATGGTTACAGAGGTTCTACATAGGCTACTACACCCCCAAGAAAGGCCGAAAGTAGAGCCACCTACTACAATAGCCAATGGGGGTTTGGGGCGCTGCTCATGTCACCAAAGCGCAATCTGCAACAAGAAGGCTGGCACCAACCATTGTGGAGGAATGGTGCCTAAAGCAACAATGGAAGAATTGCTTGGATATTCTAGGGATTGATGCTGGCAAGTAACAGCACGGCATCATAGCACAGCTTGACTCACTTTCGCCATATGTGATGTGCTCTGTTGGGGGAAACTACCCCCGTTTTGTTGTTGGGTGGTTTTTAAGAGAAACCAAAGGGGCACCATCAGTTTTAGGTCCTCAATTTAGACACAGACCTATATATTTCGAATCGAGCTTCCGGAAGCTTTGCTCAAGGGACCAGTCAATGGCCAAGTCCCTTCAGTCAAGCTCGCAACCCGTCCCTTGTTTGTTTCGCGTCGGGTTTTTCAGGCGGAATTGTCCTCAAGAATTCCCGGTCCCTCGGCGCTTTGGCACCTCCAATCTTCTGCAGCGTCATGCGCAGCGCCTGGACCCAGATTGTGGACACGAATCGATTTTGAAACCGGCACCATCTTCAATGCGCTTCAGCTGACGCGTCATTTTGCGGGACCAAAACAAACATCTCAACTTCGGCCCGCAAAAACAGTTCTTTTTGTTCAGCCTGGGACAGAAGCTTCCTGGGTTTCCACCCTGGGTTTCCACCTCGGCCCTCCAAGGGCGACGACCAAAAAAAACCAACAATTTTGGCCCGAAACATGGGGTTTTCCCAGCCACTTTTGCCTTAAACACATGGGTGGTCCCAGCTTGGGACGGAACCTCCTGGCCGTCATGGCACTCAGTGCAGTGACCCGGGAAAAAAGGGAACCCTTTTTCGAGAAGACCATTTTTGGTGTTGGGCAGCCACCCAAAAAAAGGAAAAGAAAAAGGGTGCCACTGAACAGCTGAGTTCTGGCCGTCATAGCACGAAACCCTGGTGTTTTCCCACCTTAGGACAGAACCTTCCTGGGTTTCCACGTGGGTTTCCACGTGGGCTTCCACCTCGGCCGTACAAAGGCGACGACCTCCCGGATGTTTTCCCCCAGAAAGCGACCCCCGGCCTTGGTGCTCAGCTTCACCGCCTCCAGAGCGGCGCAGGCGCCCGCGTCCCCCGCGGCCTGGCCCTCCTCCTCCAGGCCCAGGTCGCCTGTTGAGCGGCGGGGGAAGCGGTGGGGATTGAGCCCAGGCATTGGGATTTTTGGGGTCCCCGGAAAAAAAGAAACCACCAGTTGGGTTTTGAGCCCCGGCTTTGGTCCTCAAGGAAACCACCAGGGGACAAAAGCCTGGGTGAAAGTTGGCCTTTGGACCCCAGTTGGATGGTTTATATTTGGGGTCATTCATTTCTCATTCGCTGCATCTCTCGCACCGATCGCCAGGTTGGCACGCAGAACACTGTCGTCGTAAACCCCGTACGCCACCTGCCACATGCGCGCAGGCTGTACGCCCTGTGTGGCCGGCCAATCCCCAAGCCCCGCCTGTGGCTTCGCCCTGGAGTAGGTTGCAGATGTTCTGAGAGGAGACCCGTTCCAGCACTTGCTCCGAGCCCTGCAGCAGCTCGTGCAGCTCATGCAGAGACTCCTGAGCCAGCCGCGCGCTCAGAAGCTTAGAAAAATGCCACATGCCCCATGTTGCTTTCTATATATATATATATATGCTACCCCCCCCCCCCAGGTACCCAGGTTTGGGCTTGGTTCAGATGTGCTTTGACCGCGGAAGCAGGCAGGAAGAACAGCTCAGATTTGCACACTGGGAGACCAGAGGAAGGAGGTTTGCCTCATTGAAGAAAGACGCCTTGGACGTGACCCATGCCCTTTTTCAATGGCTCTTCCACACAAAAAATCAGTTCACAGAACTTCCCACACAAACCATGCCTTCTTTCAAAGGCTCTTCCACAGATAATTCACATATCTTCCCACACAAACCATGCCTTGGTTTCAAGAACTCTTCCACAGAAAATTCACACATCCGCGCACCCAACACATGTCTTTTTACGTGTCTTCTTTCAATGAAACAAAGTCAGCATATGTGAAAGAGTTGCCAAGGAAAGGGAACACTGTGTAGAATAAAACCAGGCTATGGCTGGGACAGTTTGTGTTACATAAATGGTGGTTTTACATGATATCTACTGTCTTTTGCTGTGCTTTTATGAATCACTGTAACCCTGACTCTTCTCAGACAAAACATGTCTCTTTCAATAACTCTTCTCTACAGAAAATTCACATATCCTCTCACCCAGAACATGTCTTCTTTCACAAAGGTTCACATATCCTCTCACCAAGACATGCCTTTTTTTGAAAGGCTCTTCCACGGAAAACTCACATATCTTCCCACACAAACCATGCCTTCCACAGAATATTGACATATATTCTCACACAAAGCATGTCTTTTCAATAACTCTTCTCTACAAACAATTCTTTCATCCTCTCACCGAAAACATGTCTTTTTGCATGCCTTCTTTCACAAGGAATCGCATATCCTCTCACCAAACCCATGCCCCTTTTCAATGGCTCTTCCACACAAAAAATCAATTCACAGATCTTCCCACACAAACCATGCCTTCTTTCAAAGGCTCTTCCGCAGATGATTCACATATCTTCCCACACAAACCATGCCTTGTTTCAAAGACTCTTCCACAGAAAATTCACACATCCGCGCACCCAACACATGTCTTTTTACGTGTCTTCTTTCAATGAAACAAAGGCAGCATATGTGAAAGAGTTGCCAAGGAAAGGGAACCCTGTGTAGAAAAAAACCAGGCTATGGCTGGGACAGTTTGTGTTACATACATGGTGGTTTTACATGATATTTACTGTCTTTTGCTGTACTTTTATGAATCACTGTAACCCTGACTCTTCCACAAAGACTCACATATCATCTCTCACAAAACATGTCTTTTTCAATAACTCTTCTCTACAGAAAATTCACATATCCTCTCACCCAGAACATGCCTTCTTTCACAAAGGTTCACATATCCTCTCATCATGCTCCGCAAATGTTGCACAACATTTGAAGTTGTTGCGCACCATTTCCTTGGACCAAAAAACCAAAAAAAAACCAATGAATCCCAGCCATGGTGGGGGCTAGGATTTTTTTCATATTTTTTTGTTTTTCGGCTTTTTGGTTTTTTGTTTTTTGGTCCACACAATGGCCTTGCAGAAAATGCATGAGTTCAATCAAAATACACTGCAAATATCAATGGTTTTGATACATGATGCAACAACACCTGGGTACTGGGGGGTACCATATATATATATATATATGAAAAAAGTGAAAGCGCTGAAAACTGAAGCTGAAAACGCTGAAATGGCGCCAAGAGACATCCAAACCCTGCAAGACCATCTTGATGGCGCGGACAAAAGTTTGGCATCGCTCCACATCGGCCTGCGCACATGAGACACATCGAGCAAAGCAACGCTGCAACTTCGAGACCAGGCAAAAGGCCGGAGTCTGGTTCTGCCTATGTAGATTCAGTCACCTTCATCCATGATGTGTTGATTCATCCACTAGCAATCCCTCCCAGGGTACAAAAGGGCACATTGACTGTCAGCACACTTGGGAATCAGCTTGGGTTTCCTTCTCAAACTGTTTCCAAACATTACCGTCGGCACCCCTTTCGAGCGAGCTTCCATTCTTTTCATTGGGAGGGCCGATCCAAAACGATCCAAAAACGAACCAAGACTTCCTGGTTTTCGGTTTTCGGGTGACCAGGGTGACCAAAGCACCGGCTTTCGACCGGCGTTCGACCTGCGTGAGTCGCCTGCGGCAAGAGCTGGTTCACCGTGCTGGCGGCGTGACCCGCTTCGCAGCGGGGGGCGCTGTGCTGGAGTGCCAGCAGCCAGACGTAGACCTGACTCGAGCGGCGCGGATCGATCGCCGCGATCGAGGAAAAGGGGGAAACACCCCAGACACTTGGCCGTTCTTCTCCTTTTTTTTGTCTCTCTTTTTTCCCCTTCTTTTTTTTCCCGGTGGGGACGGGCTTCATGGGAAAACGAAGGACACAGTTGCAAGTCAGAAACATCAGGCCGAGTTGACAGCACACAAAGCCTCAACCACTGGCCTCCGAACAGCTTGAGCCCAGAATTCATGCCCATGTCGCCCTCAAAATTCAGCGGTGCAAAACCACTGGCTCATGCGTATTTGGCTCAACTCGCTATCTTGACGGTTGCCCAGCGGAAATGGATGACACATAAAAACATAAATATAAGCCCTTCCTGGTTTTTGGGTTAAGATGATTGAGTGAGGAACCAGCTGGGCAATGGGAGAAGAGTGCCACTAAAGAATTGAGCTTCAGTGGAAGTTGTTGTGGAATGCGCACTGGGGGGTTGTCAAGCCTGCATGTATTGCATAGATTCTGCCTAACGGTGGCTACTTGGGAGATACTGGTCGGTGCTGCTATCCATCTCAAACGCAGAAGACAAGCAACATTGTCATGTCAATCAGTCTTTGACTCATTTCTCGCCTGATCAATGCAATTCTGCCGTTCGTTCCACTGAGTTGATTGTCCAAGCAGCACTCACATGTTGACATGTTTGAGAATCGAATACGTATTTAAGCATACCCCTTTAATTGAGGGTATAGCGGAGTAGGATCGAGTCAGAAGATTCTAAACTTTAGAAACAAGCAGGCTTCTCTCAAAGGGAAACCTTTTGCGTGAAACTGGACGGGCTGACGGCAGACGCACAAACTGGGAAAAACAAATCCCAAGCCAACCCTAAACCCACCTTAAAACCAGCCCTAAGCACTCCCTGAACCAATGCTCACCTCGCCCTCTCTCTGAAAAACTGCAAACCAGCCCTACTACACCAACCTCAACAACCCTAAACTACAGCCCAGCCTAAACCAACTAAGCCAAGACCCCACCCCAGACCAAGACCAACCCTAACCAAGCCATAAGTCCACTTAAAAGCCTCCGAAACCCACTGTAAACCCACCACAAAACCCACCCTAAACCAATCCCAAACCCACCCTAAACGTATCCTGCACCCATCCTAAACCAGCCCTAAGAAAGGCTGGCAGAGCCAAGGGCCCTGCAGGCAGGAAACATCACCAAAAGTTTTCCAAGGTTCCAAGCCAAGCATAAGGTTTTCATGGGCTTCCTGAGTCCAAATGTTGACAGAAGCTAAGGGACAAGTTTCGTGCCGCATTCGCAGCCGTACGCGGCGACTTGCGACCGAATCATTCAAGCATGAGTTCGAAAAGAACAAACAATATCTGTTGTGCCCGGAAAGCAAAGGTTCCGAAGACAGCTATGGGTAAACACGGCTATGAGTTTGTTTAACGCGCGGAATACATGTTTAGTAAGGAACACCGAGAGTTAGCTTCTCCGAGACTTAACTTACTAGTGAGTGCTCCCTCTGCCATATTGGGAGTCACCCTAGTTTCACCGATACTCATGTGGGTGCGAATGTGGGTGTGAATTTTGATCTGGTAGGCATCGTTTGGGTGGGGATGCACACCAACTTCTGAGGTGCTTTATCTACAGTCATAGCACGGACACTTCTGCCGTCGCCTCATCGAAGAAGTCTAGGAGCATGGGCACGGACTCGGCCTCAAGCTGGCCGACGCTTTGGGTTACGCTCGTTTTGACCCGTGCGCTCGAAATGCATCCCGCGAACATCCCCGTCTCAGTGCTACTTGTGCTTTTTGCTTCGCAGTCGGGAGTCGGAGCGGTTTAGCGTACAAGTCTCTGCAAGCTAGACTGAAAGCAAGCAACATGGAGGCGGTGAACACACGTGAACACTGCTTTGACTTGGGTCGAACAGACATGGCGACAAAGGGTGGGCCAACCGTTGCGATTTTGTGGCACATATGTCTGCCCGTTGTTGTCTTCACAATGATGCTCTATGTTTGTTTGACCCATGGCCAGCAAATGAGGTCAGCTGGATTCTGCCCATGCTCTCGATTGCTTTTAGCAGCCGTCCGAGGGGTCAGAACAAGCTCAGAAAAGCCAACATAAAAGCGACGCTAGCCGTCGTTGCATGGGACGCGTTTACAACAAAGTTTGTTACGTCCACGCCCATGCTACGCAGAAGCTCTATGGCTTGTGAAGACTGCAAGTCGCCTTTGGCCTGGCATGCTGGAGGGTGAATTCCAGGAGCCTGGGAAGTCACACTGAGAGCGAGAAGCTGAGAAGGATTCATACCTCCCTCGCCCAATTGAAAGCCATCCCCACTCATCTGCGCTGGGTCCGGGCACATGGAAACGCGGCTGTCCCCATTTGCGCGGAGAAACATCCCACGTCGTGCCGTCTGGGCCGGATAGTGGAGGAAATAAGCGAGGCACATCTCATCCTGAGTGAAGTCCCCGAAGTTAGTGGGCGCGGTCCTTGTCGAGGTGTCGTAGCTACAAGTCAAGGTCAGCTCATCTCCCCGCTTCAACTTCTTCACGGACGAGCCTTCCAAGGACTGATGATTGAAGTCATAGATCTTCTCCCTCCGCATTTCGCCGATGTACTCGCCGTTGCGAGTGACATGGACGCTGAGCTTCTTGCCGACGAGGTGAGCGTGGTGCATGACTCCAAGCACGGTGATCTCTTCGACACTCCAACTCTGCGTGCATTGGGCAGGCAAGATCATGCTAGGGATGCCTTAGATTTGCTCGAGACACCTGAGAATACTAGACAGTTGCAAGGAGAGAACCAAAAAGACACAAAACGGGTTTGTCTCAAACATAGACGCATCATGTCACGGGTTTCCTTTTGGATTCCCTAACCCAACCCAAACTGGGTCAACCTCCCCCCCCCCTGTAACCGGCCAAGCCAATGGCTTCGCAGCTGCTGTAGTCAGCGTGCCCAGGCGGAAGAGGATCTCGTTGGACAGGGCTGACCCCGCCCATCAGCCCAAAGGTCTCCGCATCGTAGGTGCGCAAGCCGGGCGATAAGCTCAGCTGCACCCCGCTGCTGTCACGAACTCCTGGGCGACAACTGCACGTAATGCACGTACATATATATATATATATATATATAAATATGTAACAACACACATATAATACCTCTATATTTATATAAAGGTACACATATATATATATATATACATACACATATTTAAGTGTTTCTCTTCTTGTGAGGGTACCTTGGTTCAAAGGGAAACCAAAGGAACACCACTCTTCTTGGGGGTCACTCCAAATTAGACACATACCCATATTGCCGGACAGCCAGAGTTAAGGTGCTCGGAGCAAACACGTTCTGGAGGGTGGCATGCGTACATGAAGAATGTGTATGTGTGACCATATACACGAGACATGCAAATGTGTATGCATATTGCAAGTGTACACGAACACATACTGGCCTGCACATTTGAGTCGCGATCAAAGCCCGGTACAAAAATGGTGAACCCAGAACCATGTAAAGGAATAAGAAGGCGGCCACGGCTATTAATGGTTGGGATTGTCGCTTACTAACCTTCCTCTACCCGGGTTTTGATTGTGGCTCATGTGAATAACTACATCATAAGTACGCATGTACCATGCATGTGGCGGCATTATGCCAATGCTTGCCAAGGAAGTTGGCGAAGTCGGCTGGAGTTTCAGATAATGTTGACCCAGGATTAATAAACCCGTCCCATTAGGGGGTGTTCCCTCCAAAAGTGGTCTGAATCCCCACTAAAAGGACACCCCCCTATCAACCAGGGGTTTTTCATCCATATTAATCCGGGGTTAATATTTGCCAACAGTACTTCGCCACTTCGCCTCGCTGTTTCCTGAGCTGAGTGAGCCGGCTCGCTCGTCACTCGCTGAATGAATCAAATGAATAGCTAGCTGGTCAGCTAGTCAGGTTGGTTATCGTGTAGTTGTAGCTAGTCAGAAAGCTAGTCCGTCAGGAAGTGAGATTGTCAAGTAGCTTGGCTAGCTTGCTGGTTGAACGCTGGATAAATTCAGCCAGCACGTAAGCTAGCCAGTCGGCCAATCAAATGCTTCCCAGTTTGCTTAGTCATTGTAAGCTAGTGGTCTGGTAGGCAGCTTGATAGCAGGGTACGTAGCTAGTTAGACTGTTTTGCGACTTCATTGGCCAGGTGGAGAGCGTATCTACTAGCTAGCTAGTTGGCTGGTTCGCTGTTTTGTTAGCTAGCCAGGTAGCTATTGGCTGGCCCCCGATTGCCTGGCTGGTTGGGCAACCAATTGGTTAGCCAGTTGACAATGCTTGGGCACCGTGGGACCAGGTGGCGCAAGTGAAGCAACAAGAAGGAGGAGCGAACTTTGAAGGTTGAAAAGCGGCTGCACGCCCAAAAGAGAAACAGAAGCAATGATGGGACGTGTGTGAATGCCCCCCGCTCGAAAGTGCGAACCTTACACGAGCGATTCGAACGCAACGGAAAGCCGCGAGTTGGTGATGGTCAACCCCAGCGTCCGCAAGGTGTACGTACAAACACATGTTCAGGCCATGGTGATTACTCAAAACATGAACATATATGCTATCATATCCGCATGGCCGAACTCCATACGCATTCATACATATATATATATATATAATTATATATATATATATATGTATGTATATATATATATATATATGTTCCAGGCCCCCCTCCCCCCAACCCCCTGTGGGGGTGGGGTGGGTGGTGGGGTGGTGGGGTGGTGGGGTGGTGGGGTGGTGGGGTGGTGGGGTGGTGGGGTGCGGGGTGCGGGGTGTTGGTTCACGGGGTGAAAGGGGGAGTCTGGGACTGAAGCTGCAGGGCTCACACGGTGCTGGACAGCATCCTCAGCATTGCCAGCATCATCCCCAAGATGCGGATGATGCGGGGGAGTGGGGGGACCATACCAGTGGAGGGGGGGGGGGGGGGGGAACGTGGCCCAGGGACTGGTACATATATGCCCGGTTGATGCATGGACCTGGTCCTCTCTGCCTTGCCTTCGTGCAAGCTTGGGTTGTAGTAGTGCACTTGCAGCGCATACCACCGGGCACCATTTCCAATGGGCACGCCCACATCGGGCGGCAGGACCAAATCTTCCCCACCTACAGCCCATGGCCATTTGGAAGCCTGACACCCTCGTACCATGCGCTCGCAGTTGGAAATTACCTGATTGTGCGTGAAGTTGTTGTCCATTGCAGCCTGCTCCGTGCACTCAAAAAGGATCATATGATGCACGTACCTCGCAAAGCACGACAGAAATCGCAATCCGCTACGTGGAAGGCTTGATCAAGCTTGATCGGGGCAAGGTGGGTCAGCGCCAACAAAAACACACTTGTCACACTGAATGACACCTACGATTAAAGGCAAAACGAACCAGCGGTGATCAAGCAACTCTCTGGAGCCGCTGTCCAGGATGACCCCAAACTTCGCTGCATGGTGCTTCTCTGAAGTGTTCCGGTTGCTGGGCAAGACTTCTGCCAAGTCAAAGATCCCACACACGTAGGGGTTCTTGGCATCACTCCCCTCCCCCACCACAGGCACCTCAGGCATGGTGATGCTCACCGAGTCATAGCCGCTCATATCCGGCGGCGGGGCCGGTGGTCCGGCCACCAAGTTGGTGTGGAACTGGCCCCGGGACTTGTGGTAACCAAAGTCGTGCGAGTGGCCCAGGGCCCAGTGCATGAACATCCCCACGTCTTCCATGGCGTAGCGCTCACCGGTCTTACACGAACGCATCGGGAGTAGGACACCCCATGAGATGTTCCCAGAGGACTCCGAGCTGAAGAAGAGTAGAACCTCCTGCGTCTCTTGGAGCTGGGGTGTGGCATAAGCCGTAGAATATCGCTCCTCTGCAACAAACTCGCCATCCACCTGTCCGGACACAAACCCCATGAAAACCCCAAACACCGGGTCAACACCCGCCGAGCTCAAAATTGTTTCATGGTGGCCGTGGCTTTTGGTGATTCACTTGGGAGTTTTTCGACTCGACTTGCTCACCTTGCGCACAACAATCTGCTGTGCTCCTTTCATGCCGCCATTTCCGCCAATGCCAAGCGAGCTCCACCCATCGTGATTCTCTGCATGAAGGCCCAACTTCATGTACTCGCCGTCTGTGCTGGGACCGAAGTACATCAAGAGCCCAGTGCCTAGCTCTTGGCAAAAAGGCCAGTGCTCCTGTGCGAAACTTCCATCTCCATAGCACGCGCTTGCTTTCCCACGACAGAATAGCAAGGCGAACAGCCACAACACAGTCATCCGGATGATTCGTCTCGCGGGGATCTAACGTCACACCGGCAAAACGCCCTGGACGGCCTAAATTGTGCTACGTGGCTGCAATCACATGCGGCTGCCCATGCAAGAGCTCAGCTTTCCTCCAATCGATTCCCCAATCGATTCCAATCCATGGTTTGGAGTGGAGTCTAGGGCTAGGGGGTTAGGGGGGTTTCCTACTTACGCTGGATGGTACCATCTGCCCGAGTGTACGCATGAAGCATTTGGCCTAAAAGCTGCCGAACACTGCCCTCTCCATGCCACACGTGCAGCAACATACCAGCGCTGCACCACTAGCAGGTCAAAATCAATAGCTTGCTTGGTTCCATGCCCCAAACAAAATGGGGGGGGAAGGGGATAACCCAAAAACTAAATGAACATGAGGGTCAGACCGGGACCTGCTTAAGCAGTCTTCCAGTAAGTACTGCTTAGTTTTGGCTTTGTATTGGAATAGAATTCTTGTGCACTGGCTCAGTGATGTTTAGAATTAATTTAGGGTTGCAGAACTACTTCTTTGAGCTGGCCCAGGACTGTTTGTCTTTTCTCTACCCTTAAACAAACCATATTATTACCTTCCTGGGCGTTCTCTGTACCACTCAATTGAACATTTGGCTAGGTGCAGTTTTTGTACAGAGTGCCGTAAATCATCTGGCTGTCTGGGACCTCAATCAGGTCAGCTCTTCTTGGAAGCATCTCAAGCAAAGTCTACCGCAGGTTGCTGGTGATCGTGGTGGATAGTTGTACATGGTTGGGTACATGGCGACCAAATGAAGAAGACGTGGTCAAGAGCAATGTGTTTGACTAGCATACCAAGGGGTTGGGAAGTTTGCACTAATCCTCTTCCCAGCTCTACATACGCCATTATTTCAGAAAAATGACAAGGGGAACAGGCGGCAATACACAACTAGAACTAGGTACCGCACCAGCACGGCTTCTTGCCAAAGCATGCGCGGAAACGGCATGATTGCTGGGAGGGCGGGAAAGGATTAAACGACCAGAACACCCCTCTCAGGGCAGGCACCTAAATGCCACAGAATAAAGACGGAGCGGTTGCAGTATATGAACGCAGCCATTTGGCTCTAAACCGCAGCCATCGAGGCAACCCACAGCTTTTTCCAGCCAACCGTTGGACAACTCTTGTTTCAGCCCAAGCACCTGGGCTGTTCTCAGATCCCCCGCTAGCTTTTGACTTCTAGTGGGCTAGATGGAAAACCAAGCCGTTACCTGCCAGCAACTACATGCAAATAGAGCGCTAGTCCAAGGTTCTTTGACAATGAAACATTTATCCGCAGACGAAACACTGAAAAGCTAAAGAAGCTAAGGGGATGGCTGGGCGCCACCAAGGTACGCAGGCTCTAACCGCGGCCCGGCCTTGTAGGCGGGCTGCCAAAGCCGGGTCCAAACAAGGCCTGAGATCGACTCGTTTCCATTTCTGCGTCCAGGATTCAGGTTTGTCAGAATGGACAATTTCGGTGGCTAAAAGCCAAAAAGGAAAGAGCCCCATTTTGAGGTTCCGTTTCCTATTTGGAGAACCCGCGCACAAGCGACTCGGGCGAGAGCACACGGCTGCAAGGAGCGCAATTCCAAAAGGGGCAAGATTCCTTTCGGCTTCAAGGTTGTCGAGATTGTTTTAATTTCAAGCAGGGCTACTCAGCCACATGCTACGGATGGGTGAATTGCAAGGCTGTCTTGGCACTGTCCAATTAAATGTTAAATGGCAAGCTGCCAACCCCAAAGAAAAGGTTTGGTGTGCGATCGCTGTCGTCTTGTGTACCTCATGAGCATGAACCAAGGCCGCACATGCGGCCAAACAGCTGCCGTTTGCTCAAATCAAGATAGAAAAGGAAGCAGCATGAACGAACTTACACATGGCAATCTCTGAAGGACATGCAAGCGTTCAATTCATGCTGCCAGGGAAGTGGCCAAACCGGACAGTCAGCCCGCGCCTTCTTTCTGAATCTCCGAATCCCAAAAGCGTGCCTCCTCGCGCGGTTGGTATCTCAGTTGTTCAGAGACCCTGGAAAAAAGGGAGCCCTTTTTTGGGAAGACCATTTTTCGTGGGGCAGCCACCAAAAAAAAGGGGAACATAATTGGTGCCACTGAACAACTGAGGTATGCAAATCTTCAAGGTAGTATCCGGGGAGGTTTCAGCGAAATCGAGCCTGGGGGGGGGGGCACAATCCCGCACGACGGAACCAGAAAACCAACTACTAAGCGCTGCTATGGGGACTCCCGAAGAAATGCCCGGCTGCGAACTTGGAAGGGTCAGCTGCCATTACTCCACAAAACCCCAACATAAAAATAATTTTGGCTCGGCCAAAGGGTGCAAGTCTGGAGAGTCACGATGGCAGCGGACTGCAAAGACATGACCTTGCACCTTGCAAAGAAGAACTTGCCCAAACAGCTCGGCATGCCCCAATGGCCACTTGCTTTTCCTTTCCATATCCTTTTCCCTAGCAGACATAGTACACTGCTTCTCTTCAGAATGTGCTAAAGCTAGATTCTGCTGCCCTTTCCTTTCGCAGATATGGAAGCCAAAAGGATGCCGAAACGAAACCAACCTCTTGACTGGCTGGCATTCTCTGCAGGGATGCAGTTCCCATCCAGCTAAGAGGGTCCCACAGAGCTCATGCTCCTTGATGTTCTTCTGCAAGATGTCCAAGTCCAGGCTGTCGATCTTCCCAGCCTTTGGATACCAAAAGCAGGGATTCTCACGCGCCCCTGGCGAATCCTCTCTGCAAATGCACACCCCGCTCTCCCCGCTCTCCTGTCTTTCTTCCGGCGCGCCGTCAAACGATTCCTGTCTCTGTGAGCTCTGTGCACGCTTGGCAAGAGCCTTCAACACAGGGCCTGCAGTTGTCTTGCTCAGCAAAAGGGAATGGCTGCGTTGTGACTAGCGGCTCAGGCAAGCCCTGTATCATCTAGTGCCTAAAACCAATGAGCAAAAACCATCGGTGCAACTCTGCAGCGATGCAGTGAGAGGAAAACTGGATCGACCGGCTCAGCTTAGGTGATCACGGTGGGGCCCTCACCTGAGCTGGTCAGGTAAGGGCAAAGAGCAACGCGCTTGGCAAACTCTCAAAAATTGGCCTCTGATTGTTTACACGGACCCCTCAAAAACTGTCCTCGACAAGAGACGCCTTTTGATGTATCTGCAAGGCTCCAGCAAGATTCCTTTCATTGGACAGCTTCTGGGCAGCCAGTTGGTTGCTAGGTAGCCATTCAAACTACCGCAACCAGCGCTTGCAACCTGTTTTCAAGTTCCACAATGGCTGTTTCCGGGGTTGATGTTTTAGGTGCCGTCGGTCCGAGGATGGTCCGAGGGTGACGTGGACATGGCGTCGTTTTTGTGTTTGGCGGTTTTTGAGCCAAATTGGGTCGTTGTTGTGTTCGGCAATGAACACATCATGTTGCCCTCCAGTATACCGTCGTTGGATGGAGCTCCTGCATGGCCAAAGGTGGCGAGGCAGTGTTGCAAAGCCTTCAATCTCAAACAAGTGGTGCACTGAAAGCAGGAGTTTGTGCGTCTTGCCCATGCCCGTGTGCATGGCCTACAAGTTGCCGGTGCCAGATGGAAGAGATTACAGCCCTTGAGAAGGGGGACACACCGTGTCGGGACACTCAGCGAAGCGGCTCTGGTGTATGTTCATAGCTGGCAGTTTCGAGCTTTAAGCGGGAAGAATCGTTACATTTCTAAGGTGGGCGCTAGCTGACAGCAGCGTAGTTGATTCTGGACAGGAGTTTGCTTCGAGCTGATTCTGGAACGAGTGGATGGCACGAAATAGGAGGTGGAGGTGGCGGGGCGATGATGCGTGAGGAGTTTTGACTTTTTTGAGACAAAGCACATCTTTTTTTGCACTGTCACTGTGATTTATGGGGACAGCTCCTAGGGTGGGCGCCAAAAAACAGGCGTCATCCTCGAGCCGATCCCATGTTTGACGCTGGTGAGAAAGTCTGGACTAACTCTGGCCCGCGTCTTGCTGAGGGTTCTGCCAGTCATGGTAGCTATTTCCCTCAGGAGGAGCTCGTTGCGTTTTGATCTCCGTTTGGCTTCTCCAAACAGGCAGGTTCCCACGCGAGGTGCCTTGGGTTCTGTAACGGCAACCCCGGATAAATAAACCTTCCGCTTGATTCACAAGGTGTGACCCTGTGGGGATAAGCTCACTGGAGGGGACCACCCAGCCAAGGAAGGGTTTCTTCTCATCCAAAAGTCAACATTGCCTCCGCATTTTTTTTGGTTGACGTTGGAAGGGGAGCAACAATTTATTTGTAGCGGTTAAGTGGTTGGATTTCAAGCGCTAAACCACAATAAGCAAAAATGCGACATGTTTCCCAACAACCATGTTTTTGCCCGTGTGCCAGCCCGGTTCCTTGAAGCCGTGTCGCGGCCGGTGAAGGTCGCGAGCTGGGACAGCTCCAGGGCGATGGCTGCCAGAGGCTTCACCACCTGTCAGGATCCGGACCCGATTTGGGATTCCGGATCTGCTTTTTTTTCTTGAAGACCTTTCTTTGGTGCTTGAAAGGGCCACCAAACAGAGACCTCCGCGGACTTGGGCATTTTGGGAGTCGGTCCCCTGAAACAGTTGCTGTCCCTTTGGCTTCTCTTTAACTACCACAGAAAGAAACTTCATCAGCAGTTCGCCGTTGGGAATTCATCATTTCAGGTTCACTTTGAACACCTAAAGCACTGGGGGACAAATTTGGAAGGTTCCGGCGCGGAGGCTCATGTGAAACAGTGTTTCTTTCTGCAATTGGGGCATTCATTGGTCCATCAATTTTCAAACAAACCGAACAAACAGGGATTTTGTCCCTCGGATTCGTATGCCCCTCAGCTTTCGAAGTTGACAATAGGCCCTTCTGGCCCAACCATGCGGGTCCTGAACAGAGAAACCCCCGGTGCGACCTTCAACAAAGATGGGTATGAACTTTAGTTTGGGGAACTCTACTTTGCAAGACCGCACTTTGACACACGCCATGGGTGTGAAACTTAATGGGGGACCCTTTGGTGGACATCAGTATGACAACTTGTGAGTTTTTTGATAGTGATGGTTTAGATTGGCAACAGCTGGGATTCTGAAGGACAACCTAAGTCTTAAAAGGCTTATTCATGTAGACCAATGGCTCTCCAAATGCACCAGTGGGTTTACAATCTTGCTTCACTCTTCAAGGGCCTGGGTTTGGTAGAAAACCCTGCCCCAACCTCAGAGATACGACCTATTGCAAAGAGGACGTTTGATGAAGCCCTCGGCTTCAAGTAGCCGGATGTGAGGTGCATAGATCAAGTACATGTCTGTGGCTGTACCCAAATGGCCCCCTTAAGTGGAACCAAAGACCAAAGCCTGCATAACCCTGCCTCTTGAATTTTGAGCCACACCCGCATCTATTTCCAGTGAAGCCCTTTGCCGGTCGAATGGCGCATGGCGCATGAGGTGTTTTTTCTGCCAGAAGGGGGGGACCCGAGTTGCAAACCGCCATCCGAACTCGAAGGTGCCATCCGCTCGCCAGTTTAGTTCAGAACCCCCCCGTTTGGCGTTTGGCCGGATCGAGTCCAGAAGCTTCGAGTCCTTTCACACTTCCGGCCTCGAACTGGTGCTGGGTGAGGTTGCCGCTGGGCGGCTCGTACTTCCTAAATGTTGTGCTCGTGCGGTTCTTCCCTTCCATTTTTCTCGAGTGGCTACGATGCTCCACGCATGTTTCAAAGTTTTACGGGTTCTGGGTCCGTCCAGGAGTCCAGTTTGGACTCACTCAACAGGCAGCTACGCGGCAATTGGATTGGGTTAGAATGGGGGTGGGTTGATTGTAACTGAGGGCAGGCATTGGAGGGTTCTCAAGGGGAACCACAGCTAGGCAGTCTCGAATTCACACAGGTCACCGTTGGAGAGCCATGGCACGTGACACACGCGGCGCAAGGGTAGACAAAAGGTCTCTAATGAAAGGACAAACTCAGGAAGGTATCAAGCCATTCTTCTACCCGCGAGGGGTTGGTTGGTCAAACACACTGCGCCAGAAGAGCAAATCCGTAACAACAACTCATAAGCACAGTCGTCAACGAGGTCATAGAGGTTCTAAAAGAATCAAAAACAACAACGTCGGACAACTTAGGAGTTGGACATGGACAGCTTGTTCAACACATCGGCTCCGGTCCAAGCCCTTGTAGAGGTTGCCGAGAGCAGGCGAACCACAACATCATTTCAGTCGGATGTATCTGGCCATTGTAGGGCGTGCTTTGGCATCATCCGCATGGGTTGTCTCAGCATGCTGGATCTGGAAGAAGGGTCGGAAAAAATGATCTGCCGGGGATCTTGAAAGGTTTCCAGCTTTGCCGTTGGAACCATGTTCCTTGGGACCAAAGCACTTGAACTTTAAGCGGGTGAACGACTGCGTTACTTCTTATGGAAGAAAGGGCGCTTGCTTAGCTCCGTCTTTGAGGGGATCAACTGAAACGAGAGACACGCGCGCTGCTGAACAAGCGGAGTGACCGAAGCCCCAAATGAATCCGAGCATCTCCAAGTAAAGACGCACCGTGGCACCTGCCACGCCAGTGCCGGAGAGCCGGAAGATGATGCGGCTGTTATCCTCACGGATGGGTTCAAAGACTTCCTCCAAAGCCAGTCAAATGGAAACCCACCGAAAGGTCACACATAGGGCTGACATCGAGGTGCCAAATGGTTTCATCGATATGAGCTTGGGAACCATTAGCCTGTTATCCCAAAGGACGAGGAAATCAAAGGGCACGAAGGGAGATGTAGGGAAATGACTCGCAATGAAAAGGGGATACATGGAAAATGAAGCGGACACACCGAGAAAATGACAGGGGGATGAAGGGGGAATTGAGAGGAAAGGAAGGGGACATGACGAGGAAATCATATGAAATGACGGGACATGAAAAGGACATGAAGGGGAAATCAAGGGGATTCAGGGGTCGCGAAGGGGCAGTGCACGGAAATCAAGGCAACTCAAGGGGGACGTGACGCTGCAATGCAAACAGGGAGAGACAGAGAGACAGAGAGACAAAGAGAGAGAGAGAGACAGAGAGACAAAGAGAGAGAGAGAGAGAGAGAGACCGAGAGAGAGAGAGAGAGAGAGAGAGAGACAGAGAGAGAAAGAGAGAGAGAGAGAGAGACAGAGAGAGAGAGAGAGAGAGAGACAGAGAGAGAAAAAGAGAGAGAGAGAGAGAGACAGAGAGAGTGAGAGGGAGAGAGAGAGAGAGAGAGACAGAAAGACAGAGAGAGAGAGAGAGAGAGAGACAGAGAAAGAGAGAGAGAGGGAGAGAGAGAGAGAGGCAGCGACGGCGGGGGGGGGGGGGGGAAGGAGTCAAAGACACGAGGTGGGGAGAAAGAGGCATAGCGAGGGAGTTGATCGGGAAGAGAGAGAGAGAGAGAGAGAGGAAGAGGGAACAAAGGGAGGGAAAGAGAGAGAGAGAGAGAGAGAGAGGAAGACGGAGAAAAGGGAGCGGCCAATGTCGGCGGAGTGAGCCGCAGGCTCTAAAGTTTTATTCTTCCTAAGACGCTTGCTTTTTTGCAGCCAGCGGGTTCCCCCCTTCGGAGATCTTTGCTTCAAAGCATGTTAGCATCTTCACAAAGCTTATCACAGCTTCCCTCCTTCCCTTCATCGCCTCTTAGCGCCAAGGCATCCACCAAACGCCCTTTGCAATTTATCTTACTTGAGGTACAATCCAAAATTAGAAAAGTGCAGATATATTTCATTGCCACTTTCTTTCTGCTTACCTATATATTTTTGGTAAACTTGTGATGCATACTTCTAACTCTTGATCAATCTGTTCTGCATCCATGATTTTTGGTAAAGCACGATTTTTCGGACTGCTTGTGCCTTGTAAATATACTATTTTAAGTATTCCCACAAGGACCTTTTTTGAACACTTCGCTTGCACCAACGAGGGCAAGTGTTTTTTTTGGTGGATATTTCAAAACAGGTTCTGATGAGCCAGCATCAAATATTGTATATATTTTTTTCAAACTACATTTAGGATACTGGTCACAGTTCCTACTTGGACCGTAATTACTAAATTTTACTATGAGAGTTCCGCTGCATTGCTCACATTTTTGCTCACTGTCTATTGCTGTGGCAGAACTGGCCTTCAAATTATCTTGTAATATATTCAAAACTTCCTGTTTGTCTTTGCCTTCCATCTTTTTTTATATGCAAATCAAAATTGTACCAAACATTTTCTAGCACACTCTTCCATAAAGCTTCTCCCTTAGCAACTTTGCCTACTTCTTCCTTTGAGGTCGCTGTCGGCCTCGAAGATGAACCTCAGGCCCTGCTTCTTGGAGACGCTGCCATCCACCGGGTCGGTGTATTCGAACCTGAGTCCACATGCCGAAGCATTGCTTCGACGGATCTTGCGGGGGAAATCGCATAATCTCAGTTGCTCAGTGACCCTGGAAAAAAAAGGGGAACCCTTTTTTGGGGAAGACCAAATTGAGTGGGGCAGCCACCAAGAAACGGGACAAGGGGAGGGAGATGCCTGGTGATGGTGATGCTGGTGCCCATGCTTCCCTCTGGATATTGCATCTTCTCGCACTTGTCACTCGTGCTTGTCAAATCCAGGCTGCAAGTCGAAACCTCTACAAGTAGCATGCTCTGACTTCCAATAGGATCGGCCTTCTGGCAACTCTCTCATGCCTATTGGCATGCTTCTTGGTGAATCAGAACGAGCCCCAGGAATCGCAAGGCACATTGGAGGTCATGTGTTCGCCATGTGTTCTCTGCGCTGGATGCTCGGGTCTCCCTTTTCAAACTCCCATCCCTCCATTTCAGATCCTTCCCTTTCCGCCTTGAAATCTAAGGCACGCGCCCCCACCTTCCCCCACCCTCCGCCCCGCTCGCTCGACGAGGCGCATGTCGTTGATCTTCATCTTCATGCCCCCGAATTCCTGGCCCACCAGCGACCCCGCCTTGGCCTCCATTGCCGCGAACATCTCCTGACGCCGTCGAGACGCCATCTTGAGGCATCCTTTGGTGCCTTCTTGGGCACCGATTGAAGCCATGCCAAGAAACAAATGGATTTGGCTTCACGGAAATTGAAACACAAACCGCCTTAGCCTTGCCCCACCTCCCTGGCGGCTCCTCCGCCTTAGCCTTGTCCACACCCTCGTAGTCGTAGCGAGCGTAATAGTTGCGGCCGTACTCCTCGGGAACAAGGGGGAAGGCTCCCTTTGGCGACAGTCGCCTCCTTTTCCAGTACCAAACTCATGAAGAATTCTCTGTTCAACAGGAAACAGCGCTACATTCCAAGCTTGTCAGCTGAAAGGGTTGGCATGGGCCTGTCATTTTGGCCACCCGGCTTAGTTGATCACGCCGCACAGTGATGGGGTTGCATGCCCCACTAGCACACAAGAATTTGCTGTATACAGGGATGATCCTCTTTGAATTGCAACCAATGCTAGTTTCATCCTCAAACCTTCGGTGCTTCTTGGCTTTCAGCCGTTCTCATCGCGTCGACCACGTGTCGACTCCTTCCAGTGCTCCAGGGCTACTTCCTCCACAGACACCACCTTGCCGGCCTGGCTGGTGCTGCTGCATTCCCCCCCCCTCCCACCCCCACCGCCTTTTGCAGGGAACGGCACAACTTGCAAAGGCCCAAAGCTCAAGAAGACGGCAACACGCCCTTTTGAGCCCTCAATGGCCTGCAACCTGATGGAACTCCGGATGAAGCATGTCGAGGTGTCAGCAGTTACAATCGCTGGCGAGACACCCGCCAATCCAGGCGTCGGAGGTTTAACATGTTATATCGACAGTAATATTGACAACCTGTTTGAGGTGTTTTGCATATGGCTTTGCTTGATGATATGGCCATGGGTCAACCTCCCGTACCCCTAGTGAACATCCCAATCCCCACTAAAATAGACCTCAAAATGGTACCATTGGTTTTGACCCACAGCCATATGTCCACTGCCTGCTGAGAGGAAAATCCTGAAACGTCACTTCAACACTTAGCCTTCCGTGCACCCGCGCCTGCTCGGTCTTCTTGGCCAAGATCTGCAGCCAGGCCAGGACAGCCCACATGCCGTCCTTCTCGCGCACGTGGTCGGCACCGGTGCCAAAGGACTCCTGGCAAGCTTCTGCTTCTGCTCGGGCACTGGCAATCCAAAGGCCGAGCAAAGGGCTTGGTTGCTGTTGACCCCCTGCACAAAGTTAACTTTTTGGGGGTTTAGTGGAAAACCCCTTGATTTCAAGTGCAGCTGCAATAGTTGCACGGGCCAAACATGGGAATGGCTGTGCCTCCACATCAGTCACAATCAAAACCCGGTATTAAAATGGTCTACCCAGAACCATGTAAAGAATTAAGAAGGCGGATATCCGCAACTATTTCCGGCTTGGACTGCCCCTTACTAATCTTCCCGGGGTGTTGATTGTGGCCCCACATGCCTCTCTCACTTCAGATGGGATGGCTCCTCACCGCAGATGAAGGGAGTGTAGACGGGCTTGCCGGGGAAGTAGCTCGTGCCGCTGTCCATGAGGTTTCCAAAGAACTTCCTCAGAAGTCTCAGGTGCAACCCGGTGACTTTTTCAGTTGTTCAGTGACCCTGGGAAAAAAAGGGAAACCAGCTTTTAGGAAGACCATTTTTGCTGTTGGGCAGCCACCAAAAACAGGGAAAAACATTGGTGCCACTGAACAACCGAGCTGTTGGTTCTACCAAATATGGTATAAAGCTTTATACGGGCCTCAACCCGCGCAGAACCACCAGACATTGTGGTCGGTTGGGAGACGGATTCCTTGAGATTCCTGCGGATTCCTCGAGAAGTTGGGGACCCTCCCCTTGGATTTCTTCCGCTTGGACGCATCTCCTGCCCGCAATTGGCTTCTCCTGCAAATGAATAGTCACTAGATCATTTTCAGGAAGCACCTCTGGCACAGTTCAGTCTGACTGCGATGGACTATGGCGCCTGAGTTTGAGAAATCCTCCCTCCATGCAAGCCCAATAGCAACATGTGCGCAAATCGACAAGGTGTTTGACAGACTTCCTAGCATGAGCACAGCACTGGCCGAAGACCACATCTTCGGAACCAGTTCCTTCAAAGCCTTCAACCATGAATCCAACTGTTTGTCAACCAGCAAAAGCCGGACCCTCTGGTCGAGCCTCTGGCCCAAGCCCGTCCCTCCCGCTTCCAGATCTGCGGCCAACATCTCCACTGACCTTCGGTTACCTTCCATTCTCATCAGCCCCGATTCGCGTAACGGAAAGGCATTGCCCGTCTGCACATCGGGAGACACCGATCTCCAATTCACTGGAAGTCCGGATGTCTTCCAAGAAATATTACCACTGGGCCAGCCCCTTGTTTCAACATGTTAAAACCATTGTTAGACACTCGCCTCTTGCTTGCTCAGCAGGATGTGGGATCCCCCCCGAAAAAAAGAAAAAAAAAACAATTAAAAATAATAAAACAAGACCAACTGGTGGTTCCCTTGGAACAGACCAAAGCCTGGCTTCGTTCCAGTTCTCCTTCCCGACCTATCGCACCGATCGCATGTTTTGGCTTTCCCTCTCAAGGGGAATGCGAGTGTTTTCCGAATGGGTGACCATTCGGGTGTTTCCCAAGATTGGGGAAAAACCCAGGTAATTTCCCTTTCCCCGTAAAACCCATCCCAAAAAGAAGGGTCCCCTTTGGTTCGGGAGAACCCCCCGCCCCAAATCTGAGTGAATTATAACTAAGGTGGTTGGAGGGCTATTCCCCACATAAGCCCTCCCTTTGGGGTGAATTCGGTCGTGTAAATTCTTTATAAAATTCACCCCTGCCCCAAATCGACCCCCCACCCCTCCCCCCCCTCACCACCCACAACCCCCCCCCCCCCCAAATCGACGTCCGAGCGGCCAGCCGGTGGGCACCTCGAAGCAGGGGATGCCCTTCTTGGCCGCCACCAGGTCCAGGGCCGCCGAGGTGGGCATGGACCGGGCGCAGCCCTTCAGCCCCTCCTCGCCCCGCGGTTTTCGCGCGACGCGGTTTTCAACTCCTGAAATTCAGACCGTGGATGGACGGAATCCGTTGGGAAGATTGGGGTGTCTAGGCTCCCAAGGACTTCATCCTCTTGGTTTAAGTTGGGTTTGCAAAAATCCTTGCTTGAAAAAGAAATGAGATTTCTTAAGAGTGTTTGGTGTGACCAAGGCTCAGGACAAAAAGGGAATTGAGGTTAGCCCCCGATAAAATGCTCCTTTAGTCAGACTGTGGATGGTTGCGGAATCTGTTCGCACCACGAAATGACACCATGGTTGAATCCAGTAGATTGGTGGGTATGTACAGGGGAATCATCAGAAGACAGGGTTTCTTGGGCGGTGCAGGATTTCGTCCAGCCACAGTAGCTCCCTGAGGCATCCTGGGAGCAAAATTCCTTAGGTCCATGCGGAGCAAGCAAAACATGGCAACGGATTGAACCTTGTCCGAAGCTGGCGGAATAGATGATGATTGATCTAGCCAAAGTGTTCAGTCTGAGTTGCCTCCGGATGGGCTGGGCTACTTACGCAGCTATTTGCCTCTACAGGCGCGGACGGCCGTCATGACCTCAAGTCGTTCATGCCCCGAGTCGTTACCCTCCCGAAGTCGGGAGCATCCAAGTCGCGCTCGGCAACGAGTTGCATGAACCGAAAGGCTTTAGTAGCCGGCCGTATCAAAGCTTTCAACAGGTGTCATCACTGCCCTCTCCACAGACCGAAGTCCTTGAACTGAGGGATAAGGTTCGAGTTGGCCACGATCATCGCCAAGGAGTCCGAGGGCGACACAAAAAATTGGGTGCCGCAGATCATGTTCCGGTCCGCGTCGCCGTCCGCCGCTGCTCCGAAGGTGGGGATGGGCTTGCCCGGGTCCGCCTGGCGAGCGAAAATGTTCGATGCACCACCCTCATGCCGCGTACCCTGCAGATTTCAGAGCCAGGGCATTTTGCGGAAAGCCTTCTGCGAGTCACATGGCGAGATGACTTCTAATTCGTGACCCGAACCGGTGGACATCATTTGGGGGATTTATGTCCAACCACTTTTCAGGACAATTCCAACCCTCAAGCTTTTCACGGCCAGTAATCTCGCCAGTCTCCCTCGGCGCCGATTTTTTTTTTTTCCGCCCACAGGTAGGGGCCCGCCCATTTGGGCGCGCGCGAGCCGAGTGGGCGCCTTGTTGCCCTCCTTGGTGAGGCCCATGTCCTTCACCAGCTCCACCGCGTAGGTGAGGTTGGGATCCGCGTGCCCGTGCCAGGCGCTGGAGGGGCCGCCGAAGTCCGGCAGAGGCTCCGCGTTCTTGCCTCGCATAAAGAGCCGAAAAACGCGGGGGGAGCGCGAGTTTCCGCGCTCCGTGCGGTCCGCGCGCGGTCGCTCAGTTGTTCAGTGACCCCGGAAATAAAGGGGAAGCCCTTTTTGGGGAAGACCATTTTTGGTGTTGGGCAGCCACCAATGACAAAGGGGAAAAGAATTGGTGCCACTGAACAACTGAGGTCACTGCCTGACAAATGTGACTCGCAGGGCTGGGTTTCGGAAGGGAGTGGTCAGTCCTTCTGACCCAGCCACTGACAGTTTGTTTGCGTGAGACTGAGAAAAGACCATTAGTCCGAGTTGATGAAACACCAGGCGCACAAAGGCGGGGATCGGCCCTTAGGAATGCTTGAAGCACTGAAGGTGTAGGACATGAGTGCGGAGGGAAAAAAACATAGAGAAGGAATGTGTTTGAATGCGTCCACATGGCTGTTTACCTCTCTGTCTGCTTCTTTCGAATCCTAGCAGAGCTGGATTCCCTCATGACGCATTCTCTGCCTTTCCCGGGCCAGTAAGGACAAGAGGAGGGCTACTCCACCAGGCAGGCAATGGGGCGATCAGCACCAGCGATGCTTTGTCTGTCGACCCTCAAAGATCTGGACTTGCAGATTGCCGATCTAGGATGCATTGATCTACACTTTCTAAACGCGACCTCGTCACTAAGCCACACACACACAAACACGAAACACAACAATCTTCGTCAGCTTTTTACGTTTCTTCGATGCTTTTTTTCTGTATGAGAGAGTCAGAGTCGTCGCGCTTTCTTCAGGCAGTCTGGTGAAGTAACACTAGCTGACCGTAAATCTGCACTCTGCAAACCCTTCTATCACGCACCCAATGACCCCACTAGACCTTCTTCCCTTTGGGGGCTCGCCACCAAAGCAGCCTGGAAATCAGTGGGTTCCCAGTGGTTGGTTGCTTGGTTGCCTGGTTTTGTTGCTTGCTTGCTTGGGTTGGCCGGTTGGTTGCCGGGTTGGCAAGTCCTGTTGGGAGCTCCGGCCGTTGGGAGCTGACGGATCTGAGCTCCCTGCAGGTGCCAGCCGCAGCACCCAGCTCTCCCTCGAAGATTTTGCGTGCATAAGGGCCCTGGACGCCGCACATGGAGTCGTAGGTCATGCCTGTCAAGTGCAAGCAGCGGAACACGAACCTACATTGCTACAAAGTACTGAAAGACAGCGGTGGAAGATGCATCTCAATTCATGGCGCGCTTTCGGGTCCAATGACCAAATGCTACTACAGAAATTGGTTTTTTAGCGGCCTGGAGCGTGCCACAGGACTATTCGGTCGCTCTCAACTACCCACCCCGCTTGTTCCTACCACCTTAGGAACTCCATATAAATACACATACACATGTGGCTTGTGTGTCATGATGTGCCTTCTTTGCTTGGCTCATTCGTGATACCACCAAGCAATGCGACGGTGCTCAGCATCATCTTTTTGAGGACAACTAGGCTGACCCTTTGAATGCGATTCATGTGATGTTAGGTTTGCTCGTGCCGGGACTGCGCTCAGTCATGTGGTTTTGAAACCATGGCTGGCATTGACCTGCCATTCTGAAACCGATCTCGTAACCAGTTGTCTAGGAGTCGGGCAGTTGGGAAGCAAACTCAGGCTCTGACTCTAAGAACCCTGGTGCAACGCCCTGGTTTCTGGCTAGATCAACCACTTCGGAAATCAGCCACCTTTTACTCCCCCAAACGCCACTTGCGGCTGTGCCTGGGTCCTCTCTACACATTTCCGGCTAGGACATCAGCCAGCGTTTAGGCCTCCATAGGCATGGTGGCATGGCTTCATGTTTTTATCCCTGGGCTATACACAGCTCCCGATTTGGTTGCGACTCACAAGGCACTGAACTCCGGCATCGCGATGAGCTTCTTGATGCTCTCGAAGTCGAAGCACTGCTTCAGCACCTTTTTGAGTGGCCAACTCGCAAAAGCCATGCGGTTTACATCCCCGCCTCCTTGAGGATGGGATGTCAGACAATGTAATCTACATTTCTTGGCAGGTACCTAAATGAAAAGGAAATCATCTACATGTTACACTTCCCTAAAATGCAAAAAAGAAGAAGACACAATCAGAAACAAGAATAAAAAGAAGAAGGAGAAGCATGAGGAGAAGAAGAGCCCCTGGGTTCTTCGAGGCGACTCTTTGGTTGTCTGACCCAATGTAGCCACGGGGGGGCGGGTGTGTGTGTGTGTCCTGATTAAATGTAACTCAGGGGATCGAACTTGTGTCGATTCTTGCTTTTTGCTTTTTCAAGAAGGACATGTATTGAGCTTTAACTCAGTTGTTCAGTGACCCTGGAAAAAAAGGAACCCTTTTTTGGGAAGACCATTCTTAGTGGGCAGCCACCAAAAAAGAAGGGAAACATAATTAACTGAGTTAAACCCCCTCGTTGAAACCATGGATTGAACCAACCATTTCGCTCGTCCCTGCCTTGAGGTGGTCCTCCACGCAGTCGAAGACCTAACGCATTTCCACGGAGTTCCAATTAGTGCGCTTGTATTTTCTGAACGGGCTTCTTCCTAAGGGTACCCGAAGGTTTGGCTTCAAGGAGACCCAAAAGGAAGCCCATCTTCGGGCGCCCCGAACAAGGCTGCCTCAATGCTGCTCGAGTCATTGCCACACTGAAAGGAACTTGCAGTGCCCGATTGGAGATACTCTTTCTCTCTCTCTCTCTCTCTCTCTCTCTCTCTCTCTCTCTCTCCTTTTCTCTCCCTCTCGGTCTGTCCCTCTCGTTCTGTTTATGTTCATTATTATAATATCATTTTGTCCGACCCTGTCTCTTTCTCTCGCTGTTGCTCAGTCGTGCTCTTTGACTGGCCAAGTACAATCGTGGCAATCCTTGATGCTTGCCCAAGGCATCTCAAGACCCGCATTTGTCCGACCGGTGAACCGAAAGCGGAAGTTGAACCTTTGAACCAGCACCACAGCTTTCACCGAAGCTGCCGCTGAACGGCTCCCTTTGCCCCCATCCTTCCCTCAAGTCTCCGAAGCAAACGACGCGGAACTCGGCCCACCTCCACCACCTTGCCCTCTGGCAGCTCGTAGGTTTCCGGCTTGGAGAGGTCAAAGTCAGGGATCTTGCCTCGGCTTCCAGTGACTTGAGCCGGGTTTAGGCACTCAAAAGGGGAAATCCATGGGTCTCCGCGTGGGCAACGAGTACAAGTATCAACAAACTCAGGGCTCTTCCACCCAGATTTATTCTAGATTCCTCACTGAAGACTTGATCTATTTCGGGACATGGTTTATTGCTGTGACAACCCTGCTGATAGCCAGAGCCTGATTCGCAAACAGTTGCCCTCGTCCTTCAACCCATATTCAAGAATTGTGCCAAATCGGCACCCGAAGTGAACAACATTTCGATGCACTCAACGGCGGTCAAGAACACTTGCGTGCGTATCAAGGTGATATTGGCCTCCAAGTCTAGAAGCAGCGCCACATCGCACATCGGCATCCCAAACCACCTCTTTCCTCCGAATGAGGACCTGGCAGGAACCACTCTCAAGAAGGGGAAGCCTTAGACTCAGTTCCCTCCCGCAGCAACGGAAACGACGTCTTCACTCGCCGGGGCACTGCAGGTCTTCAACTCCGTGATCTTGGCGGTCCACTCCAACATCTTGTTGGTGACCTTCCTGAGCTGAACGTCAATGCTTGGGATCAAATGGTGGATCACGCTCGAAGGCATTTGAGTCGCTGGAGCCTCCAGGAAGATCAACACCAACTCACCCAACTCTAACTGCACACCCCAACTCCAACCTATCCACCCCAACCTCACCCTCCCCAACACAACAAGTGTTTTTGCTCCTGTCCGAGCACTGGGAAGTTGCCAGCTTATGCAGCTTGGGGGCAGGAGAGAGCTTTGAGAGGTGTCTAGCCAAGAGGATACTTCACCATACGGACCATACAAGTATCTTTTGGGCATTCCAGTTGGTGTCCATTGTTGGATGACATGCGAAGAGAAGGAAAAGACACGAATCATGTCAAGGGGTCCTCCATGGGTTGGTACAAGCAACAAACATGACCAGCAATTTGTTCAGCCCAAATTCCCTTTGTGACCGGAGTTCGGTCGATTTACTCATGGGGCCATGGGTCAAAAGCCCGTACCCCCAGTGAACATCCCAATCACCACTAAAATAGACTAACATGGGTGGTGCACCTACCCCAAAATGGTACCATTGGTTTTGACCCACAGGCATGGATTTGTGAGGTCCCTTGCTGCTCGGTTGGTGCGCGGTTAACTGCCCTGTCGACTTCTCTGCTCGAGCAGCTCTGGGGCAGGGCCGCCGTTCTCGCAGTTGTACCTCGGCAAAACACAAAAACCTTCGCCTCAACGAGTCCTACACAAAGAGCCGACCTCGGGGAAACGCAGACCTAGGGGGCAAAGGCGGGAGACAAGCAACAAGAAGAAGCAGAAGAAGAAGACGAAGGCGAGGAAGAAGAAGAAGAAGAAGAAGAAGAAGAAGAAGAAGAAGAAGAAGAAGAAGAAGAAGAAGAAGAAGAAGAAGAATAAAAAGAAGAATAATCAAATCAAAAAAAGGCAAAGAACAAGAACGATGGGAATGATAAGAACAAAGTGACAGTAGAACCCTTTGATTGGTAAACAAGACTTCAAGCGCTGCCAAATGGAGAAAGTGCGGATGAGGCCGGACAAAAGGACGTCACAGGCAAGCATTGATGAATACCTCAGACTTGGGCTATGGATGATTAGTAATCAGAAGGGTCAAATAGTCGAACCCTACCTTTTCCCGAGTGTGCTGTGTACACTTTTTTTTTTTTTTTTTTTTTTTTTTTTTTTTTATATATATATATAAATACATTCATAGTTTATATATGCATATATATATAGTATACATACGTATATGTATTGGTATATGTATGTATCTATATATGTTGGCACTTGACAGAAAACATACGTGCCATGGTCAATGCTCCTTATGCAGGCTATGGTCATGGTGTTCTTGATAGCAGCTCCTCAGCCAACAGGAATTCGCCTTTTCGAACTTCCTCATGGAAATCCACACCCCACAAATTACAATGCATCACCAGGATGCTTGATGCCGAAGTCGTCGTTGATGCCTCCGGCACTCGCGCACTAAGTCTGCCCAAAGATGTTCACCGACTCATTGATTCTGACTCATTGACAGGACATCAAGAAACATAACTACAATCCCAAAAGCCCTGGTCTATGACCCTTGGCTGTTTGATCGATGAGTGAGTCATGCCATGATGATGATGTGCAAGGACGGCCACCATCTGTATGCTTCCTTGAAGGAACTTTGGCACTCCACAACACGACTGGATGATGAAATGACATCGCCACTGCAGCATTCGATTTCCTCGTTCGATCTCACCGAACTATTTCCACGTCTATGTGACTAGATACGCGCAGAGGTCAACCCCTTCGCGGAAGTTCATGACAAATCAATGAATAAAGAGCGACATTATCTGAGAGTAAAACAACCTCCAACTCCAAGTGGAATTGGGCTTGCTCCCTGAAAACATGCCCGTCATGCGAGAAACTCTCCGGTGATTCCCATCTTGGCTTGCGCGCGTGCAAACACACAACACAACACAACACAACACAACACACCACACCACACCACACCACACCACACCACACCACAACACAACACAACACAACACAACACACCACACCACACCACACCACACCACACCACACCACACAACACCACACCACAACACAACACAACACAACACAACACACCACAACACAACACAACACAACACAACACAACACAACACAACACACCACACCACACCACACCACACCACACCACACCACACCACACCACACCACACCACACCACACCACACCACAACACAACACAACACAACACAACACAACACAACACAACAAAACACAACACAACACAACACAACACAACACACACACACATGCACAAAATGCACATGACGCGGGAGAAAACAAAGTACAGCTGCCTCGAATTCGAAAGGAACATCGGATAACACAGAAGCTTTCCCGGAACGATCATACTCGTGCAGAGTTGCAAGTCCTCGTATGTGCCATGAGCAAGACAACTGCCAAGGTTGGAACATGCCAACACTCACTGCACCGGGCTAAGGGAACATCTTACAAGGACAGTCACTACCGCAGGGTACTACCCAGCTCAACAAGAAACATTTGGATCCTTTCAACTTGGCTGGAATCGGGACTCCAGCAAACATGTTTCTTTTTTGCCTGGTTAGCGGAAAGCAACGGGACCCCCCAAAAAACACAAAAAAAAACAAAAAACGAGCTAATTCTGGGGAAGTCAAGTGCTTCTGGTTTGTTTCGCACATCTGCCTCTGATCCTAAGCTCTAAAGTTTCATCTCTCCGAGAATCCTCGGCGTCTCATGGGCGAAGTTTTTGAAAATGGGCGGCTTTCCACGTGGTCCTCGAACACCCATCGCATTGTTTCACAACACATATACCCAACATCGACCTCGAAACATCTCCAAATGATATGTAACTCTAACTCAAACACTTCATGTCTTTTTCCGAGAGCCAAGCAAGACAGCTCTCTCTCTCTCTCTCTCTCTCTCTCTCTCTGTGCTTCTCGCAGGTGAATCTTGCCTCAAGAACCCTTCCAACGTTGCTTTCGAACAACAAACGCTCACGATCTGAGATTTCCCTTCAGAACCACTCCAAACAAACACCCGCCAACCAAAAAAAACACCACTGCACATGGCCATGAATTTAATCACGCCTCTCCACACCCAAAAACGACGACTCGGATCCCGATCGATCGATCGATCGCTCGCTCGATCGATCGCTTGCTGCCTCCGGGGTTGTGGCTGGCGGAGCAAATGAATCCTCCGAAGGGCTCCATGCCTTTCCCGCGGGCGCGGATCACCGCGCTGGTGGCCGGGGTGGACAGCAGTCCCCCCGTGCCGCACCTGAGATGCGAAGGCGCGAGGGCGAAGCCGGTGAGTCGAGGTGTCAAGCGGCCATCAAGGTGCCGCTATGTTTTGTTTACCAAGAGATGAGTGGAGTTTCATGATGGTGCGGTATTTTTAGGAGTTGGTTGGCCTATGAACAAGATATTTGTACCATGCGCGTTGTCCACCGGTTGTTTTTCACCCTTTGGCCTCATTGTTGCATGAGGCACACTATGCAGTTGGCTTGCCGAACAACTCAGATATATGATATGCTGCACAGCAGACGGAAATCTATGCCCAGACGAATCCAAGCCTGCGCCAAATCAAACTAAGAACTCGTATTATGTCAAGTTGGCATCCACACTTGAGAAAGAACTGTGCATCTACATAATTCCTCAATTTTGGGTGGAGCCCGCGGTCTTGAGCAGGATCACTTGCCCTTCAACCGCGGCACCACACGCGCCCCACGCCGGCAGCAAAGGCCATCTTGATGATGATCTGGATGGCCTCCGTCGCAGGCTGTTTGATTGTCAGCGAACTGAGATTTCAAAAGGCTGGTGTCATGTTGGTTTCTTTCTTGTATGGCTCGAAAGGGAGATCTCTCCCTACATCATCCTACATCCCCATGCCTCGCTGCAGGGTCCATTTGGGTGCCACCCGCAGTCTTATGGAATTCTTCGCGCTAGCAAGCACACTCCACGCGGGTGAAAACGTCTTGAACAGCTCTTCAGCATTCATCTGTAGAATCTGGGACATTGTTCCTGCTCAAATGGGAATAAGGATAAGCCGCCATCCTCATAGTGCGGACTTGGGGCGTGGGGCTTGTATAATATCGTTTCCTTGGCATCAAGAAATGGCCGGCGGAGATGGCCTCTGGAGCACGAATGATGTCTTTCTCGTTCAGCCCCAGTAGCAAACAAGTGACGAAACCCTGCCAGTCGAGGTGGCTGAAAAGGCAAGTTACGCTTGGGCCTTGCCTTTTGACCATTAACAGTTGGGTCATAACCGATCGACTGGCGGGTGAAAACGAAGACCTGGACAGTGCCTTTGCTGAGACCCTGCAAATTCTGTTCAGTCATTGAACACACACGCATGAGCTTCAACATTTTGCCACAGGTGATCAGTCTTCCACCAGCAGCTTAACTTTTTGTCAGAGGGCAAGCTGACGTTTGTTGTCTAAGTCCTCCAGTAGAGAGGTTAGAATAAGGGTACCCTGTTTTCTGTAGTCCAGTTTAGAAGGGGCCCCTCCCCCAAAAAAGACACGGTAAAAGGGCACAATCCTGGGGGACCTGGTTGTTGAGCATGAAAAGACTTCGCTAATCCAACTGATCCGCTCGCGCTCTTCGACTTCGAGCGCGGGAAGACCGACCTAAGGCCCCGCCTCGGGGTTCCAAAATCGGCCATCGCCGGAAACCACCAAGGTGCCGCCGGCCAGCGGGACACCCTCCTCCCCGAGGGTGTTGAAGACACTCTGCACGAAGTTGGCAAGATACCTGAATAGTCGGCGGGCTGAGCTACCGGCAATGATGTACGCATTGTGCAATGTACGCATGATTGTGTGTTGAAAGTTGTTGGTATGACGGATCCAGTCGGACAAGATACTCCGTTGCTCCTTGCATGCAGGAATGGTGATGGACCCTGTTGTGCGAATCCCTGCAATGTGGAAGCATGAGAATCCTGGTAAAATTCTAGAACTGCTGGAAGCGCATGAAACACGCACAAAGCGCGCGCCGGTATAGGCGATCGCTTGGTCTTTTTGACCACCCCAAATTGAGCAGTAGGCTTCAGTAGGTGGGCTGTGAAGACACACATTTCAGGAATATCTCAACTCTTAGGCTTGGCTGAACTTGAGCCGTTCTATATGGCAAGAACTATAATATCATACTGTGTGTTTGATCATTCTAATCCTACCACCACTGATATAGAAATCCTACTCATATAGGAATAAACAGCATGCTACAATATAACCACCATGTGTGTTTTTCCGTTTGGTTCCCCTTTAGCATTGCAAACAAACAGGTACCTTCAAAGAAGACACATCCGTGGTCGGCCTGCAATGAGGAATCCCTCAAGAAAGGATCCTACGAGGTCTTTCCCGTCACGACTTGTGTTCCTGTTTGCCTCGCGCAGAAACAAGCATACAGTACCGGGCCTCGCCTCTTTCGCCAAAATAGCACACGTTGGCCGTTGGCACACATCCCGTGCCAATTAAGAAGAACTTACTGGATGAATGGCGCCATTTGCTGTCACTCACCAAGTCGAAGACTTTTGAGAGGGTTCAGAACATGCGCTTGTGCGCTCTTGACCCGGTGGTTCACCAGCGTACCCAACCCACAGAGGGAGTTCATGGTTCAAAAAAAACACGGCGACAGGCTCCATCGAGGTGATTTGGGCAGCTTTGCAGCTAGTCGGTGCAACAACTTGCGGTTTGCTCACCAACATCCAATAACATCCAGGTTATGCTTTCTTCCGGTTTCCCTTTAACACCCCAAGACGGGTCGCCATTTTAGAAAAAAATGGAGCCGGAGCCGAAAGCTCTCCGCTCTCCCGTCTCAATCCGCCGTGGCACGTGCCCTCCATGAACTCCTTGGTCTTCTTTCGCAGTCCGCTGGTCCCTGGCTTCTGGCCCTCAATGGGCTTGGTGGCAATGGTCTCCACCCCCAAGTCACAGTCCACCTTCACCTCGAAAAAGGAGATCCATCACTTCGGACCCATGTGCCTTTTTGACGTGCGTCTAAAAAACACAAACATCTCAGCCTTGTTTTCAAACTTATTGTCCAATCTGGCTTGTTCCAACCTGTTCTTCGCCCCCCGCCCCGCCCCCCAAACATGGTCTTCTGATCTCCGTTTGGAAAGGGATGGGCGCAACTGCTAAATCCGGTGACGTAACCTCCATTTTAGTTTTGTGGCTTGTGGGCCAAACGTTTTTTTTGTTGGGGCTGCCCTCAGATCCCCTGCTAAAAGTTTAACTTTTGGTGGGTTAACAGGAAACTACCACTAAACACTAAAAAGCTAAAAGGCTAAGGAATCGGATGGCTGGGAGCCACCAAGCTATATATAAGTGTCCTGGGCAAAGCTACAAATGACAGCTACCATTTTCTACGTTCTGAGAATCCTTGGAGGGGCCCAGGGTGGCCTCGCGTGGCACTTGCACACCGCGCGACTGGAATGCTACATCTTCTCAGTTGTTCAGTGACCCTGGAAAAAATGGGAACCCTTTTTGGAGAAGACCATATTTAGTGGGGCAGTCACCAAACAAAAGGGGGAAAAAGGGTGCCACTGCACAACTGAGTCTTACATGCGCATGGCCACGGGAATTCCAGAGTCAGTTTCAGAAATCGAAACCGTGCAATGCGAAACTTCTCGACCAGGGCGGCCTGTCATGCAGGAAGGACCTTTGCCCTTACCAACCGATATATGGACTTGTCCCCTTTTGATGGTACCCCCTTTTGGTTGGTTGTAAAGGGAATCCACGAGGAAAACCCGGCATTTTTTGGGGTCCCCTAAACAAGATGAAACAAATATCAAGCTTGACTTCCACAACTCATCTTGGAGCCAAGTCGCCATGGCGATTTCGCGAAATGGAAAGGCGAACCGTCCACAGGCGCTACTGGCTTGATCTCAGAGCTGCGGGAGACCTCATGTCTGCGCTACATGCACAATGATTACAACACCACTTCCATTTTTTGAATGGGAACTGAGATTCCAGTCAAGCAGTATCCCTTGCTTGCTTTGTGGAAATCCTATTGATTCAAGTACACACCATCCAACAAGTACAAGTGTCTTACGGCCAAGGGTACGGGAATCTTCCTATTTTGGGCTCCAAACTAAGGCCTTACCCGAAATCATCACACTCGTGCGTAATATCAGCGTTTGCCACGGATGACACAGAACATGCGTCAGCAACAGGTTGAACAGGACATCGCAATGGACACCATACGACACCTGATTTGAAATCGTGCCAAGTGCAGTCAGGTGAAATACATCCCAAATGGCCACAATATACATGATCAGTTGATAGAATGCTCGAATCAAACTGTTGTAAGTGCGTGCATTGAACTGGAAACCTGCCGGTCAGAGCACTGCCATGTTTTTCGAGGCAGGCTTGTTGCCAACAAACCTTGTGACTGAATCCCACTGTTGCTTGCTGCATCTTTTCCAAAACCGCTGAAAAACGCACGAACAGGGTTCAACGAAACGAGCCGCAGGGTTCGCCAAGTGGTTCCCAACCGCGGCTTCCAGCCTTGGATGTGGCCACCAGAAGGGCGACGTCTTGGATGCACCGCGTAACCGCCGCCTGATCACCGCGAGGTGCTTGGCAAGCAGCAATCAGCAGTCAGATCCTGAAGCAAAAGCAGGTTTCCAGCAAAAACAATTGGCTTCAAATGAAGTAAACATGCAGCCAACAATTTTGGAAGCACCGTACCCCATTCATTGATTCATGGAGTTATCAGAAGATGCATCAGTTTCAATTCGCAGGTATCCACAGAATGGCACGGAACAACCCTACTGAATGATCAAGGCATAAGCATCAGAAGCCTGTGAAGCCACATATCACTGTTGCCTTCTGACGCTTGACAACCTTTTCAGGAAATCACCTGTACCTAGGATGCATTGATTCCCTGCGGCCAGTAAACATTGACCTGCATGGGATGATTGTGTTGTAGACTCTGTCTATTTTTGTTCCATCCGCTGTCACTGGTCGGGAATAATAAAGATACCAACTAAATCATGCAAGCACCGCACTAGCAGCTTTATGGGAATCCACGTTACCGAAAGGACCAAGTGCGGCTCCTGCCAGCTTGTGTTGCTGGATGAAGCAAGCCATTGAATCAGTGGCCACCCCCTATTTCAGACCCACCTCAAGTTTCGCCCGTTTCACATTCAGCGTTGGTCGCCATAAGTTTGACCAAACATATGCCTACACAGTGGTTCGGAAGGATGGCATTTCTTTAGGTAGGCTTGGCCTGGGTCTGTTTGTCCATCTGTCTACCTGTCGGCCGTCTATCCGTCCGTCGCTGTCTTTGTCTCCCTCAGTCAGTCAGTCGGTCGCTGGGTCGGTTGGTCGGTGTGCTGCTTGGTCCGCCGGATGTCTGATGCTTTGAGTCATAATCAAAACCCGGCAGGAACCATGTAACCGCAACTATTTCTGGCTGGGACTGTCCCTTACTAACCTTCATCTACCCGTGTTTTGAGCACGTGGCTCCTTTGCATCTGGGGTTTCTGAGCTCGCACCTCAGCCCCCCGCTTTCACCTGCTCCGAAGCACCGCTGCCCTGCGCGTGCCCAGCGAAGGTCAGGCGGTGTCAGTTGGACCGGGCCGCCCTCTCCAACTAGCTGGCCCTGTGACCTTCTCCTGTCGCCTGGATTCTCAGATGGCACCTTGCCTGTCATTCCCTAGTAGTATTCTTGTTGAGGTGCGTAACCACACATCCTGCCAATGTACAACTGGACATTCTAAGGTAGATGAACGAACCTCGAGTGGCAGCCAAGGGCACAACGTTTCCTGAGTAGCACATTGATGTCAAGGCTTGCCAGGGCGTCCTCTGCCAACTTATGTCTGAAACACGTAAAGCTGACTTTTCTTTCAGTGACCCGCATGGGTCCTAACAAATGGCCATGGATGGCCAACAAATAGGTTTCAACAAATGTATGCTGCACACATGTACTGTTGGTTTAAGCGGTCGGAACCCGCTAAACGGCCATGCCTGGTCGGCTCAAGCGCAAAAGGCAGTACCAGGAGATCAAGGGTCATGCTTCAAGGTTGAAGGCCCTCTAGTTCACATTGAGCTAGTTGTTCGGACCGGCTCCAAATACAACTGCCTGCCAGTAGGCAAAGACCATGTCAACGAAGAACACGACCTTGGCACGCCCTTGGGGCCGTTTCGAGCATCGCCTGATGTCTCGTGCCAGTTTGTATTTGCACCTTTTCGGTCTGATACTTCTCGTTTTTGGCTCCACTGCACACCCACAACTACCCGTTTGATGCGCATCCAGCGGGATCTTCAAATCAAAGCTTTGGCCCGCGCTGACTCGCAGTGGCTACCAATGGATTCAAGGACGCATGTCCTTCCAGGCTCACTTGTGGTCATTCCACAGCACATCCTAACCCCTTGGCCCTTGCTAATCCTCACCCGCAAGAACTTCATGATCGACTCCCAGGCTCATGATTTGGGCTTGTCTCGCAGGCTGGATGAGGCATGTCTAATCAATCAGGCACTAGTGGCTGAGATTAAATATTCCAGACAGGGATGTGATATGAGCTGGGCCAATCACTTGTTTAGAAGTCAAATGTTGATACATCTTCGTTTTTGCTCTTCGTTGAAAAACGACTGTTGCATGATCATCCTGATCTCACTCAGGTATTCAGTCACTTTGACCAGGGGGCAATCGGTCCTTGCCCGCAAGCAGATCTAACAGCGCTCCCAACAACCCGCTCAAGAACAATCTCGCCCCTTCCACTTCGCGGACATCCTTTCGTTTTGGGAGGTAGGGGCTAGGGGTGTGCTCCTCAAAAAAAACCGCCCGCGCGTGTCGTCTTGGGGTAAAGGAAAACCAACAGAAGACACAGCCTCGCGTGGTTTTTTTGGGGTGGTAAAGGAAAACCAACACAACACACCAACCACCTAAGGGGTTGAAACCGCCCGCGCATGTTTCTTTATTGGGGCGGTAAAGGAAAACCAACAGAAAACACAGCCGCGCGTGTCTTTTTGGGGTGGCAAAGAAAAAACAACACAACACACCGAAAAAGCAAGCCGCCAATCACTTGTTTAGAACTCAACTGTTGATACATCTTGGTTTTTGCTCTCCGTTGAACAACACACCAACCACCGTAGGGGAAAAAATAGTAAAACATATCTTGAAAGAAGTAAAATAATTTTCAGAACAACTTACCAAAATATAAAATATAGGTTTATAATTCAAATATTAAATAAGGTTAATACATTATTCATATTCATTAACCTTATCTAATTACTTGAAAATAATTTTACTTCATTGAAATATTATATAAGGTTAAGAAGTTATTCTACATATTTACCTTATACAATTTTATGTAAAAATATTAATAAAATAGTGTTAATTCTCTTCTGCCTGTTTCATTTCTAAATTTCGTTTATGCTTATTTGTTTTAAGATGTTGCTTTTTTAAACATGGAGAAAAATAGCAGTCACAAATATCACACTGAATTTTTATACTGTTCCATTTTCTATTACTTTCAAGTGTTTTATTTCTATATTCATCATCTTCTTCATATCTTTTTCTTTGCTCCTCATTGTATCTATCTTTATGTTTAATTCGGTTATTCCTTTTGTTTTCTGAACATTGCTTGCATTGTTTATTATCTTTATTAAATTCGTCAAATAGTTTCATTCTACCACAGTTTCTACATAATTTTCCATTATCAGTTTTGAATGAACCGTTTTCCAAAATTCCTTCATACATTTTACCTTTAATTAAAACACAAATGTTTCCTTCCATAGTTCTTATAATACAATGTCCTTAAACCTTTAAATACATTTTAAGAAATTCCTATAATCAATATTCCTTGAAACTAAATTCCCAAAATCCCAAAATATAAAATCCCCATAATTTCAAAACATAAATCTTACAATGTTTTTTATTGTAAGGTTTATGGGTTAAAATAATAGTCAGGCAATATTAATGGAGGAGGACATGACCTGCCACACAAAAGGGGGGCAGCCAGCCACACAAAAGGGGGGCAGCCAGCCACACAAAAGGGGGGCAGCCAGCCACACAAAAGGGGGGCAGCCAGCCACACAAAAGGGGGGCAGCCAGCCACACAAAAGGGGGGCAGCCAGCCACACAAAAGGGGGGCAGCCAGCCACACAAAAGGGGGGCAGCCACTAAATGACATTTTCCTCGAGTTTCAAGCACAACCCCAACTCAAATTCCTTAATCCACCAAACTCGTCAAAATCTCACAAATCAATTCAGCAGGTATTTTGTATAAATCTTCCTGCTTATGTATTACATAATTATCCCCACATTCTGCTTTAGTTTTTGATGGCAGTCGTTCCAACTGAACCTGTGCCTGAAAATAATTCTAATAAATTCATATTATTAGAATTATTTAGAAATTTATTATATTAGTTCGTATTTTCCTTCTTCGTTCTTAAACAGTTTATAAAATTCAATAGTTTCTGTTTTTGGGGATTTAATTTTGTTCTTATTTAACATGTCCATATATTGCTTTTGCTTATCTTGAAAACTGCCAGACGGCCTTCCTATTTGTTTCTTTTCAAAGATTTTATCAATCTTTTCCTTCTCTTCATTGCTATTTTTTGGTTCGTTTGCCTTTGCATCAAGTTTCTCGTCAATAGTTTTTATCATCTCGTACAACAGTTCAACATTTTTACTAACTGTCATCATCTTCTTTGATAGTTCAGCAATAGCATCATTCTCAACTTCAGACATTTCTATATATATTTATTTATATAATTATTTATTTAAATATTTATTTATAAAATTGATTTAATGTAAAATCTACTCTTTAAGTACTAAATTTTCATCATTTGTTTAATAGTTTCCTGAGTTTCGTTATCTCCATTATCTGACATTGTTGCCTCATTTCCAAATTTGATAGAAATATTATGTGCATCTGTTTCCAGATTGATACTGTCCTTAGTTTTATCAATATTCATTTTCTTATCATTTTTAGTTATTTTAAACCCTAATGGCACACAAGAACATTTGCAATTTCCTTTCTTTTGAATTTCCAGTTCGTTTTTTAGTTCTAACATCTTTTTACACATAGGACACTCAAACTCGGTTAGTGCTGTTTCTTTAACAATTTCTTCTTTTTCTTCATCTGTTGAAGAAACTGTAGTATCTGTTTTATTCTTTTTGTTTTTCTTTTTCCCATTTATATTAATATTTACATTTTTATTTTTGATATATTGTATTCCTAATTTTATTAATTCTAATGTATAAAAGCATACTTTCTTACATCTGTTGTCAGTTATTATTACTTGTTCTATATTCTCTACTTCATCTATTATATCAATATAATCTGAATAACTCCTTTCCATATTAAATAATACGATAAATTATTTTTTCATTTCTGTCTTTCTTTTCTTGTACAACTTGATAGAACTTGATAAGTTCTATCAAGTTCTAGAACTCTAGGAAAAAAGTTCTTTTTCCTAGAGTTGTACAGTTTTTTCATTGTATCGTCTTTATTCCATCTATATTCCACAAATTTATGATGATGTTTTGAATTTAGATGTTTAAATAAATATTTGTCATCATAAGTTTTACCACAACTGCAATGGATAATAGTCATATAAATAATAAGATAAATTATTCTAATTGATCTTATTATTTCATGCATAATAGAATATTGGTGGGGCACAGCACTTGGGTTTTCATTGCACACGCGAGCAAGACACAAAACTATCTTCAATGCTTATTGATTGAAGTTGATGAAAGAGCCTGTTCTACTACGATGGACACCATTCATATCATAGCAATGCTTTCATACAATAAATAATATTAAATTATTTTCTAAATATCTTTAATATTATTTTATTATGCCTGATGTTCCCATAGTAAAACCAATAAACATAACTGACTATGAATTTAAACAGTCTAAATATGAGCACGTGCCAAAATTACCATTTAGAAGTATTATAGTTGCTTCTTCAACAGGTGGCAAAACAGTTCTAATTCAAAATTTGATATTAAATGTATATAAAAACTGTTTCTCTCGTATCTTTATTTTTAGTCCGAGCGTCCATAATGACCCTACTTTTGTTGAAGTCAAGAAATACCAACGAGAAGAAATGAAGGTGGATGATACAAAAGAGCAAGTGTATTTTGATGAATACCGACCAGAAGAATTGGAAAATATCATTGATACACAAAGAAAAATAATACATTATATGAAAAATACTAAAATGAAGAAATTATATTCAATTCTTATTTGCATTGATGATTTCAGTGATGATCCCAAATTTTTGAGATATTCTAAAATTTTACACGGTTTGTTTACGCGCGGCAGACATGACGCCATCTCTTGCATATGCAGTCTTCAAAAATATAAAACAGTCGCTAATATAATCCGTGTCAATGCCAGTTCATTATACATTTTCAGATTAAAAAACATATCAGAATTAATGAGTTTTATTGAAGAAAATGCCGCGATTGTTGATAAGGATAAACTTTTAGAAATGTATCATACAGCAATAAATCATTCTACATATTCATTCTTTTTCGTAAATTTAAATTCTAAAGATGTCAATCGCATGTTCTATATCAATTTCGAGAAACGATTTACAATTAAAGAATAAACTATAATAGAACTTAATAAAACCATCATGCCTAAAACACCCATAGATTACAGTAATACCCATTTTTATAAAATTGTTTGTAAAGATTTAAATATCAAAGATTGCTACGTCGGTCATACAGGTAATTTTAAGGAAAGAAAGAGTGCCCATAAAGTAGGTCATTTTAATGCAAATGATAAAAGATATAACGGACGATCGCAACACAGATATTTATATGATTTTATAAAAGACAATGGAGGGTGGGATAATTTTGACATGATTTTAATTAACACAGAATTTTGTAATGATGCATTAGATGCCAGACGAAAAGAAAGAGAATACATAGAACAATTGAATGCTACATTAAATCAAGCCAAACCTTATATATCAAAGGAAGAGAGAATAGAATATAGAAAGAAATGGACAAAAGATAATGAAGAACATGTGAAAGCATACAAACAAAAACATTACCAAAATATGAAGGAACATTACCAACAAAAACATAAAGAAAATTATGAAAACAAAAAGGAAGAAATTAGACAAAAAGATAGAGATAGGTATAATAATGATGAAG